TATCTTTTTTCAAAGTTTTTTTTTATTGTTTCGAAGTTTAAAAAGTTTCGAAGTTTTAAAACTTCGAAAATTGTTTCAATGTTTTAAGAAGTTTTAGAATCAATATAAAAATGATTCTTCGCTTAAATTTATCTAAAAATGAAATCAAATCAAAATAAAAAAAATTTGTAGTTTTCAAACTCAATTTTTTTTTCATGTTTCAATCCTTGCAGTTATCAATGGTATCATAAATGAATGCAAATTTTTTTGGTAACTTTTATAACGGAATAAAGGAATCAAAAATGCTCAAATGGTTACTTTTTCTTTGCTGAAACCTCTGGGTAAAATTTCAGCTTATTGGGTGTCGGCAGTAATTCTGTTGGCTTACTTTTTTATTTTTAAATCCCGTTGTGTCGATTAAGATTGATTAAACTATTGAAGGCAATTCTCGAAACTTCTAAATCAACCTCGCTGAAATCAATATAATAAGGTTGAAAAAAAGTGGATACTTTTTTCAAGTGTTTTGGATGTTTTTACCAGAGTTTTGGACACCTTGTTTCAAGTTTTTTATTTGCTTGGGTCTTTATTGGTTCGTTTTACGACGATTGCTCTAGCTGGAATCTTTTCGCGATACTAAAGAAATCAGCTTCTGTTTTTCCATCCTTTTGTGTGCTCCTAATTTCTTCTAATTTCGAAATTTTTTCAGTTGTCATAATGTCGGCGTAGCTCCAAGTTTTTATACCAGGGACTGATCTAGGATTTTTTCGAGGGCGGCGGATAAAAAAATAACGAAATTTTATCGATCTTTTTTTTTCGGTCGATCACATTGATTTTCTGATCTATCTCAAATCCGTATAAAAAAACAGATCAAAATTTGAAAAACAGGCCGAAAAATGCGTTTCAGGCTATGGATAAAAAATGGATATCGTAAAACAGTCCAAAATGGGGAAGGGTTGCGATCATTCAAAAATTTCGCAGTTTTGTTTCAATTGTTTTATTCAATTCAATTATTCATTTTGGAAAATCGTAACTGAAAATTTTAAAGCAATAATTAGTTTGAATTTTCCTTTTTTTTTCTTCTTTTTTGAAAGCTTTTTTGCATTTTTTCGTTCTGAGTGTGTGCAGTTGGCTTAAAGCAACTTATGGTCCTATTTTTTTGTAAATTATAAATTCATTTTAATTTTTTTCCAGGTGATAGCACAGCATATTGTTTTAATGAAAATTTTTCTTTTTTGCTTTATTTTTCTGAAAAGTGTTGGTTAGAAATTTGACTTGTGACTGTTTTGTCTAGAATAGGTAATTTTATAATTTCAATCAACCATCTAGTGTAGAGGTAAAACAATTGCTCTGCTGGAGACGGCAAAGGCTTTTGGTTCGAATCCGGTCGGGAATTTATTTTTGCAACTAGAATGTTTTTTTTTCGGACTATCGTCCGTTTGTTTGTTTTGTCGGCTAAGTTCCCATAGCCCCAATTGTTTGAACTTCAGTTTTTTTGTAACGCCAATGCTTGAGACGACAAAGTCCGGTGATTAGTTTTCAGTCAAGACATGTTTTTTGTTAAATGTGATTTGCAGTTTTTTTAGATTTTGTCTATCTGCTTGTTTTTATCGGCTTAATTCCCACAGATAGGACGTTTTTAATACTTCAGCTTCCTTCTAGCATTCCGAAAGCTTCCTTTAAGGTTTTTTAATTGTGCAAGTTTTTTTTGTTCCGGGTGATCGCCTTTTCTGCAGTTTTTATAATTTTTTTATAATCTCATGTGGACATATTTGGCAGTTTTTCATTTATATTTACGCTCACGGTTTTTTTTTCATCTTTCATCCGTTTTGATGCTAGAAAATCGGCCGAAATTATTTTAACGGAGCCGTTTATATCTTTAACTCAACATTATAGTTCAAAAAATACTCTAATTGTTTGTCTAGTTTTTCATATTGAGAATTCATTTTGGCAGAAACCTGTCGGTTACTTTACAGACATATATTGAGCCTGTTTTTCCTTTAAGTTCCTGTTATATTCCAAGTTTGTGTTCCAAGTTTTTATCATTTCTTTTTTTTTCTGTTTCTCGTAAAATGTTTATTCGGTCTAAAAAGTTTCGGATAGCCTTGTATTGGATTATTGGCCTCATTTTGCGTCATTTAATGACAGGTTATTTTTTTTGATTTCCTCAAATGTGTTTTGCGACATTTTTTTGATCATTTTTTTTTCATTTTGCGTACGCAAATTTTGTGGGCATAATTACCAATTCATACATTTTGTTGCAATGCTAATCTACTGCTGTTACTTGTCCTTCTCGGCATAATTTTTCTCAAAATGAACTTAATTCAAGAAAGTGAAAGTTATGTTTATACCTAGTTTTCGATAGTTTTGTATTCGAATCTAATTATTCTGTCGGCTTACTTGCCATGCTATGATTGTGATATTTTGAATGACTTGCGTAGCCTCGCTTCGCTTCTGTTGATATGATGCATCACTCGGACTCATCTGATGTTTGTTTATTGGTAACTGATTTTGCCGGAAAAATCATAATAAATTGCAATCGAATTCAAAAATATTACACTCGAACATAAATTTTTCTCGCAGCTTATTGTCAAAACAATAATTGAATAAATTACTATTTAATTCAAAAATATTACACTCGAAAATAAATGTTTCTCACGGCTTATCGTCAAAACAATAATTTTTTCCGAGAGCCATGCTCAGACAAAGCTCACATACTCGCTGAAGTTTCTTGCCTAAGAAATCTGCAATGTTCACTTTTGGAAAAATTAAAATCTCTGAAATCGTTTCTCCGCTGTATCATTTCTGTTGTTTAAGAATTTTTGTACATTTTTTTGAATTCAAAATGCTTCGTTAATATATATATTTTTAAATTTGTCCTCTAATTTTTATAGGACCCTTGTCTTAGTCTATAGTTGGCCACAGTAGCTTTGGTAATTTTCAAATATACTTATTCTTTTAATTTTCAGGGCTGGTTTTTTTTATCTTTTCGACCATCTATGAGAAATTTCCTGCCTGATTGAAGCAATTTGATCATATCTGGTACATAGGGTTGTTCCAAGAGTCTCACTTAATTGAATTTAGACATTTTGCTGTTTCATATCGCGCAAAATTTCGAGAGAACGTCTTTGGAAAATATGGAAATCTGCATATCTGATTTCAGTTCACTTTGGTGGTAGCAGCATGTTTTGAAGTCAAACGAATTCCTTCCAGATTTGTCCCGCTAAGTCGGGGATTGTTCTCAAGTGTGTATTATTGTTATTCGCTTTGTGGCCTCTGAAAGTTATAGCTTTTTGTTGATCAACGTTCAATGCTCTTTATTTAGTACCTCATGTTTCCAATGTGAAAAAGTTGGCCGTGGTCGAATCGTAAATGTCCTCAGAGTTGCCGCAGGATATTCCTAAATGCACTTCGAAGATCTCTAAATTCGCTCGTAAGTAAAACATAGTGTGTCAAACCTACCGGTTACTAAACCGAAACTAGAAAGGGCTTTAAAAGTTTTCCTTTCAATAAATTGTCTGGTTTCGGTTTATGACTGACTGGAACTAATTATAATTGGTGCCCTATTCAGTTAAACATATGGATTATCTTTAAAAAGTCGATCTTGAACTTGTTATTTGGTTTCAAAACTCGGGAAATAATGTCATCTGGTCTAATCCATTATGGGTGCTATAAAATGAAACGCAGAAGTGACCTATTTTGCGCTTTAATCAAGATTTTTTGCACGGGTGGGTGCTCTCCTAATTTTCGTACGATAGCCTCATATTGATAGAATATCTGCTCATTTTGCAATAGGGGATCCTCTACTAGACGCGAAACTTGTACATGCCTAACGATTACATTTAGCTAGTGTTCACAATTAGGTACCATCTAGGAGTTGAAATTTAGGTTGATGCAACTATTTACTTTGAGAAAAAACATTGGATTTTTTGTTTCATACTTCGAACATTCGTGGTTTCGGTCCAGTCTGATTTTCAACCCTTTCATGAAACAAGGGAACAACAGTAATTTCCTTGTGAATTTAATTCGGTATTAGCCCAAATATAGTTGTATGGAATTATGTTTCTGTTAGTTTTACTTGAAGGTCTAAATTCATGCCATTTAAGTGTTATGTACTTACAACCTTGTATGGGGAGATCAACAGCACAACAGTTTTCTGAGGTAAGCCCTCTTGATTCCGGAGTGCAACCAATAAAGTACCCCCTCCCTAATATCTGACGTCAGTTTATTAAATACCAATTTACGACGCTCGGCTTAACGAAACGATATAAACGGTAAGATATAAATGTATTTTTCTGCAGAACATGGATATTCGATTTCTATTTGCATAAGATCAAGAAACTTCAAATGGGTCTTTGAGTTTTTTTTCGGTTTGAACTCTTGGAAATAGTTTGAACAGTTCGCCAAATCGGCTTTTGTTTTAAACAGTGGAAACTGTCAGCCTTTCGACGTGAACAGGAATTGGCACGATCGGTTGACAATTTAGAACTAAGTTCTCTTCATTCAAAGAAATGGTTGCCTCCGTGCTTTTGCGGTAGCCGTAATACCGAGACCGCGTTTTGCCTTGAAATTAAGAAGAGTTTTGTTACTTTGGCAGGTAAGGATAGGACTCTCTTTCGTTACCTTTTTTCACTTCCTAAATCTAATTGTTAAGCCGTCAATTTTTATCTTTTTTTCCTCAGTTTGGGCTGAAAAAAGCTGTTAAAATCTTAAGTAACCAGTTTTTGTCTAGGTGCATTCAAAAGCCAAAGTAATATATTCGTTTTCGTGCTAAATTGGAATTATCGAACTTTTTCACTTTGAAGAAAAAGCAGTTAGCATTTGAAATACAGCTCAAATGTAGGTGGTTTTTTTTTCTAGGTGTTAAAGGAATAGTAGCATTATGACGCAATTTCCCCACTTCTCTAGATTAAATCTGTCTAATTTCCATTCTTCAATCATTAATTTTTACCTTTCATATGTATGGTCCTTAATAGTACGTGTAGTCAAAACAAGCCTATCAAATTTTAATTTTACTTGTTTAGACGTGAACAAAGAAAGTTGGAAAATAGCAAGCGCGGAAACATTCTCTTTTGCGTCGCGATGGCCACCCGAAAATTTCGCTGCTTTGGACATTCGCGACTGAAAAATAACCGAAGTCAAGTTCCCATGCACCTTTAATACTCATTGCATACTTTTCGAAATTTCTTCCAGCCAGTCAGCTTACGTCAGCCAATTTCTTCTGGGCGAAATCCTGCTTGTTGTTACCGAGAAAATATTATTGAGCAATTTTTGTTATAATTGTGCTCCTCGACATTCGAGGCGTAATAGTTTTACTTGTATTTCTTGACCACACTTTTTTGAGCTTTTTATTTCTCATCAGTAATCAAATTTCGAATCAGATTGCAAACATGACAAACAACGCCTCAGCTTCAGTTGACGGCGACCCATTTCTAAATATAGAAACCCACTCTCATATCAAACCCCTGACACGCGATGCCCTTCGCAAAATGCACAAAGCGGCAGTCGGGCCCAACTCGCTGGTGAACTCGAGTGGCGCCGAAGAACACAACGAGCACTCGCGAGTCAACAAGAGCATCTCCAACTCCCTCGCCGTTCCGGGCACGCAACCTGGCGGCAGCGGTGGCGAATTCCCACCAAGATTATCCATCAGCCAGCGGAGTTTATCAATCGCGCTGGCGTTGGAGGCGCAGCATCGTGCACAGAATGAGAGCAAGACGTGTGGGTGTTTTCCCCCCTTATGTGCGACTGAGGGCGCTGATCATGCGTTGGAGGAGGACAGACCCAATGCGGACCTGGACGAGGGTAGGAACCTACCCTCGATCTACGAACCCCTTTCAGCAGAAATGGAGGGCATTCCTCTTGAGGAAATTGACGCCAACAGGAAGCGACAGAAAGTTAGTTCTTCCATACTTTGTACAGTAATTATATAGTTTGGTATTAGTTTGGAAATTCAAGAACACAAATTTGCTCATTTGGCGTCGGAACTAAATTGTTTTCGCTTTTAAACACGTAGACAGAGTTTTACGAACGCTAATTGAGTTAAAAATTATTAGTTTTTGAACATTAAAAGATGTTCCACGTCACCAATATTCCCAACAATTTTGCACTAATTGCAGATCAATTTAGACATAGTCGTTGTTCCGTTCCACAGAAAAGCGGAATATTTATGCGAGTGGTGGTTTTTTCAATCAAATTTTGGCGATCAAAATAATCGGATCATTTACTTCAGATCATTTTGTAAAGTTCGTGGGTTTGAAAATCACAAGTTTGGCCATGCGCTGGACTAATTTTTGAGCGCTTTGAAGATTTTATTTAGAATGCTGAAAGCGTAAGGCGAATTATTTCTGCATGTCGAATTATCCCAAGCTACAAAATCGTTCCAACTTGAATTGAGGCAAGCTATTGAATCGGTCAGTATTTTCGTACTTGACATTTGTCCTCAAATTTTCATACCTGATGTGTCATATTTTTTGACAATTTATCGTTTTCCTATTTTTCGTTGCCAAAAACTATTCGTTAGCGATTATGAGAACTCCTGTTATGGTTCCTGCTTCTTCCAATATGAGATAATGCGTTGTTGTTTAGACTACGAAATGGGGTGAATTTTTAAACCGGTTGCGTATTCTTTTTTTTTCACCTTGTAAATTCTTTTTTATTCGCGAAATTAGGTATTTTTTTCAGTGTTGAGAAAACCGGTCTGAAGCTTTCGCTTTTTAGAATAATTTAGAGTGAACAGTTAACCTTGATATTGGTACTGTTTTAAGTTGCATTAACTTTTTTAAACCTTAACTACTAATATGCGGATTTATATTCTCATTTCACTTTTTTCAACGCAAATCGCACATTTTAGTGCAAAGCTAAATGCTAAACACATGATCAAGCTCTATCAAAGGGCATTCTTTGCTGCCTGACTTCTTAGAATAAAGTAAGCGTGAAGTTGGATTAAGTCAAGACACCAAGGCTATGTTGTATGTGCAAAGAAGCGCCGAAAAGATGAAAATGAAACTTTTGTTTTCATGATTTCTGCTTTTTATGTGTTCCCTAGGGTAGCTTTTGCTCGAACTTTTTTTAGCAATAATTTTGATGTTGATAACAATAAGTAATTCAATCGCCGACTAAATATTTTTGGAATGAGCATATTGCTTTTTCGAAGGTGTTTTCGGCCGGGCATTGAATGATCATTTTTGATGTGCCTGTAGCGGACTACTTTTATTAATGAGGCATAAGTTTTTTCGCGAGATCGAATTGAGGTGCTTCGGCTTTTAAATAGGCATAATTATCGCACTTGCACTTGATAAAGGTCACTTGATACCATAGTAGTTAGCGGCATTTGTATTTGCATTTGGCCCATTTTTAAGTGGTTGAGTAGGGGAATCCCTTCCCTCTTGGCCGAAGGAGCGAATGTCTGAAAAGTATGTTTGCCTATCAGAATTCAGTGTGCAACAATTTGAAAGAAAAAGAATGAAAATCAATTTTGGATTCAAAAATCCGAAATATGAGTGTTTGGATAGTAAAAAGAACGTTTCATGGATTGGTTGGAAATGTCCGGCGTTTCGATCCTATGGGCATGGAGAATAACCCCGTTTGAACTAAGACAAAAAGGGTAATATAACACTTCCGTATCTATCAGAAGAGAACATCCAGCCGAGAATCGCTCCTTTTGATCTACCACCCAGAAGTTAAAACAGAACCAATCAAGTGAAGAAAGCTATTCTAGTTAGTTAACACTAAAGTAAAATGATTTCCTCCTGTCATCTTTACCGACAAATGCAGGATGTTCAAATCGAAACTGATCTATAAGAATCTCAAGGATATTCCCTTGTGTATTTTAAGTGTGCAGATGTGAACTCTCAACTTTTTTTCCGATATGCCTCAAACGCATAAAAATGTCAAAAATACAGCGGTGTTTTATTTTCAATCTGGTTGCAATATACCATGCGTATAGTAAAACCGACAAAAACTACGGAATGATAAATAAGCAAGCGAGAAAACTATGCAAAAAGTTCGTCTTTTTTCGACTTTTTTTTTCGAAAATTTGGTCTAATAAGATAAGGTATCAAATTGTTAAGTAACCAGGGCTCTTTTGATCACAACTAGAGAGCGACCTTTGTGATTTCTGAAATAGATTATTTGAAAGAAACCTATTTTAACAAATGTTTCTAATAGCAATTCAGCATTGTTAGAATGTCATATTGGAAAACAAGAATGTCATGTTGGAAAACAAGTACCACAGAATTCTCCAACCTCCGCAATTTTTGCATGAACACGCAAAATATTTTAAAAATAGTTTGTGCTTGAGAGGGAGGGGAAGGCGTCCAACTGAAGCTCCAAGAAATAGTTGTCTTAATTAAGGAATAAAATTAGATACTGTTTTAAATACCGTTTAACTGCCGTTAATGATTAACTTATTTTACTTTCTAAATTGGCCTGGAAATCAAATCCTTTGATAAAGATATTGATATCAAAAGTGCATTTTGACGATGAGGGTATTTCAAGTAAAAAGCATTGATATAATGTTTTGAAGCTTATTGTTCCGACTTTCGATACGAAAGTAACGGAATATTTGTGCTCGGGGTGGGTTTTTTTTTCTTCAGACAAATTTCGACTTTTTAACTAGCCATTTTTGACGACATTTTTTCATATCATTCAAAAGGTATTGTTGTCCTGAGCTTAAATTTGAAAAGATATTTTACCTGTGATCATTTTTCGTAAACTTATGAGGGTTTAAAGATTGCCAATTTGACCAATTTGGGACAATTAACGCGCAATATAATTCGCGCTATTAATGCGTAAGCGAGATTTAATCAGTCTTATAAATTGTTCCAAATTGGTTGAACGAAGCTTATTTGCCATAAGGAACAAAATCTATCGTTTTGTACTTAATATGGCGTGTGAGGGGATGATTTTCATTAAAAAATTCAAATTTTAGAAAAAAAAATTCATTTTATTTTATTTCATTTAATTTTTTTTATGTATTACTGCTGCTCAATAAACCTTAAAAGGCAGTCGGAACATTCAGGGCTTCGCCCTGATACGAGCAGTCTTGTTTCATTATTATAATAGATAGTGTTAAAGCTTCACTGCTTTGGTGTTTCACTTGCCAGATCATGTGACTTGTAATAGTGTAGTAGTTTTTTTTTTCCGTAAATAACTTTGCTTATAAATTCTGCTGCTCAATTCTTAGTTCATTGAGGTATTAATTAGTATTTTCAAACAAATAATTGAAAAAATTTATTGAACTTTTTCAGACTATTGGTTTTTGTTCTTTTTTTCTGTCAGCTGATTTTCCGTTTTTTTTTCAAATGCAGACTATATTATCTGCTACGCTTTCCAATCAGTTTATTTCCATAGCTTAGGTTTTTTATTTTTGATATAAACAGTCTTACTATAATTGAAAATGGATTTTTTGAAATGCTTTTGTCGGCAGGGATGGGTCCTAAAAATTGTGTTTAAAAAATGTTATAGCTTGATGTTACATTTTTTTGCCTGATTTGCGGCTCGGTCATTTTTTCTCTATGCTTTCTAACGCTGTTAATGAGCCTCATCCGAGACAAAAGTTCGATTTTTTTGTAGATTTTTTTAGAGTTTTTGTTGAGTTTTTTTTACTTTTGTCGAGTAATTTTTTCAGATTACCTTTCTTCGTTTTCTTTCTGTTCAACATCTTGTAATGCAATATTTTAATTGTATTGCAAGTGTGATGAAGCTCAGCTTTGCTTTTGTGTTTTAAATGGTGTTGCTCTGCGATCTTCTGGCAATACAATGATAGCATCTGAAAACCAGAAAGTTCCCAGAATAACTTCTAGAATCAGGTCTACAATATCATGGTTAATTTTGGCTTCAAAAATGGTAAAATAATGAAATTCAGGATTCAAAAACGTGGTTTGAGTCATTTTTGCTTAGCAGACTGTTACTAAGCGCATCACTTAACCTTTAAATAAGCACGGGGTTTGCAAACGAGTACTAGACTTTTTTCCCGTAGACAGCTTTGTTAACAAAAAGAACAAAATGGTAATTCTATTATAGACCATTGTGCCGTATTTCAAACAAATTAATGATTTTTTTCATGCGTATAATTCGAAAGTTTAATGGTGGTGCATGTTGAGCGTTCCATAATGTAATAAGGAAAATTGAACCTGAAAAATTATCAATTTTTAAATCAATTTTCTAGGAGGGCGTAAGTTTTCGACTTGCAAAATTTCTTAGCGCAAAGTTTCATCTGTTAATTTTGTTTTCGGCTGAATGATCGTCTGCTCATATATTGTCGACTTACGTGGCGCTGGACGAATTTTTCTGAATGGTAACTTGATTCTCTCGATTGTGTTTATCGGAATGTATTCCTCAAGTTGAGACATTCGAGACAAACTTTGAAGATTTTATATGTATAGTTTTCAATTTAAGTTTTTTCTGACATACTGGCTTTCGACTCATTTTCTACTTTTCAGTTGCATAGCGAGTGGTGCGAAATTCTGTTTCGCTTTTGCGTTATGAATGATGCTAACCTTTTTGAAATAGGACCAAGGTTGACAGTAGCGCAGAAAAAATATGGCTGAAGAAAAAATTAAAAAATTAGTCTGGACAACGAAAAATTTTTGAGCTGTTTTTCTCGGCACTAGATATCTTTGAAAAGTTTTTAGCAATTTGAGCCACGGCTGAAAAATTTTGAATCCAATACTTTACGCCTAGTTCCTTCCCACCAAGGTGGTCGAAGCAGTTACTTCCAGTTTGAATTCGGTAACAAAACATAACAGTGACGAATAAATCAAAATGGATATATAAACTTTACGCCATCTCCCAATCAAGTCAGGAGCGGATGGGGGGGGGGTAAAAACTCCAAAACTCCCACCCCTCAGGGATTCGACCCACTCACCAAAGGGGGTCGTTATCAAATTTGTTGCCGAAGTTCACAAGAAAGTTGCTAGTCTGTCAGAAGAAACCATCTTCATGACATTACGACGACCAGAAGCTTCAGGCCAAGACTAAAATCAGGAGAAGCAACTTCACTATTTTAATAAAACCAACAAACGACACTTTTGAAGCAGCTGTGAAGACGATGGTGGGTCTGAGACAAGAAGACTTCTGCCTGAAAAAATTATACCAGAACTGCTTCCACGCAAGGTGCATCAACGGGAAATTGCTAGCAAGAGTGGTGTGACGATCAAGAGGAAGCACTGTCCGACTGAGAGTCAACAGGCCTCCTTTCCTCCGCCAAGTCGCCCACAAGTTCAGAAGAGAAGAAACCGAATAGCTGGAGAATCATAAGATTGTTTCCTTTCCATCTGACCCGCCTTGCTGAATATCAGAAATGAAGTCTGACCCGAATCTTGACTACATCGCTCTACAAGAACAACCAAACAAAGTCTTGGAATATTTTCACCCCACTGGGCACTTACGCCATCCCAATCTCTGACGGGATCCACACTAAACAACAACAAAACCAACCAAAGAGTCCCGCCTTTATTATATTTTTCTGATATAAAAGTCCCCTCGAGAAAGTCTTATGTCCGCCCCTGTAATAATTTAGACTTGTTAACTTGCAATTGTCAAGTTAACAAGTTAACTTTTAGTGGAAATATATATTTTATCCGCAAGCGTAGTTCTGAAACTGTTGTAATTGATAGATTGGCTCGGAATGAAAAAAAGGTTTCAAAAGTTTACACTCATTCTTTATTGGAAATTTTTGAAAAACAGGCTTTTTAATGAGTCATGAAAAATGGCTTTTCTTTCAGCTCATAGCTTATCGTTTTTTTTAAGTTAAGGCAGCAAATCGTCGAAAGCGACAAGTTGTCGACCGAAAGTTACATGCATTTCAGAGAAGAGACGATGCACATCAAGTAACAAATAGCGCCTCGCGCACTCTTCGAATCTTTTGAAACATTTCTTGTTTTAGACATTCGTCATCATCAGCAAACGCATGGGCAAGCACTCGATCTACCGATTCAGCGCTACCAGGGCCCTCTTTTTGTTGGGACCCCTGGATGTGGTGAGGAAGGGGGCTCTGTTCGTGGCCACCAACCAGTGGTTCGACGCCGTCGTCATCCTCTGCATCCTCATCAACTGCGTCTTCCTAGGACTCAGTAACCAGGTCAAGGTCGCCGAGTATGTGTTCCAGGCCTTCTACACGATCGAGATGATAATAAGAGTGACAGCCAGAGGCTTCGCTCTCAACAGAAACACATACCTGCGCGATCCCTGGAACGTGCTCGATTTTGCAGTCATCATTATAGGGTGAGTCCACTTTGGCTTGAAGTAAAAAAAAGTAGAATATGCTAAAATTTCAGTTTGAGGTTTCAGTATGTGTTCAGTATGGTTTTAGTATGTTTTCATGTGCTCAGTATGGTATCAGTATATGTTGGTGTTTTTGATTGATCAAATTTTCGATTGCAAAAAATTTCGAAAATATATCATGGTAGCTTTCTTCGATTTTTCGTTATCGGAAAGCGCTTATGTTGACTAAATCTGTCCTTTGTTTTTCAATTCAATGAAATGTAATCTGAATTACCGGCTTCTATACGCTCCTGTGTAGAAAGCGAGGGACCGATCAATTTGATTGATATAGGCGGCCGTACAATTTTGGGACAAAATTTACTTTTGACACCCTGCTGGCAAAAGCAAATGCTGAACTTTACCAGAGCGGGCGCACATGTGGCGAAAGTGACAGATTATGGATTTTTTTTGTCCCTGCTTTACCCACTCTTTAACCCTCATTGTTGAAAAAATATTCGTTACTACCCTGGGGAAAAATTAGGGCTCCTATTTTTAGTTTTATTTTTGGTACGTATTTTGGGGCATGCTGATAGGGGGCAGGCATATAGAAAACGAGTGATGTGATAATGTGGTCAAAGAGTAACCCATATTGTAAAATAGCCCAATAACTTCAACACTTTTCAAGTATTGGATATAACGGAAGACACAATTAATCGTTGCAAAATTTATTTTACTGACCGAATCTTTGAAGAGTTTTGCTTTGAATTTTATGTTTTATGTGTAGCTCTTTTCAATGAAAATAAAACCGTACTAAAAGGTCGAGCACTAAAAACGGGTGCTAAGAAATTGTTTTTTTCTGAAATTTTTTTGGGGTTGTGGAGTGAGCGAAAATCAATGTAATCGGAAGGGCTGATCGGGAACTCCGAAGGGCGTTTACAATAATCAAGTAACTAAGAGATAAGAGAAAAAATCGAAATTTTTGTACCATTTCAATCTGCAGTTTTTTTGCTTGATTGGTAATGCAAATAAAAGATTGACAAACTTAATATTAATCTAGCTTGACAACAATTGGAAAGGTTTGTTGTAAATTACGCCAATATTAAATTACACTAATAATAAAGGTTTAAGCAATCAAATAAATTTGCCTTGATTTTCCATTCTGATAAAATTGATGCGGGACGTTTTTTTTTCGAGTTTCAGTTTTTTCTTGCGGTCATTTTCTACTATTGTGAGAGCGTATGATATTTTTTTTCTATTTTGTCCTTTGACCCCGCCTCTTTCAACTTCTACGCATGGTCGCGTAAAAATTTCCCTATCTTTATTGTTCTGCTTCTCAATAATTGCATCTAAAAAAACTTTAATGATGATATTTTGGTTGGTTCATTTTACAAATGATTGTGGTGAACTCATTGTGCAAAATTTGGACATGATGTTTTTTTTCGGCAAGCAGACCGTTTTCAAAATAAGGAGTTTTTGGCGCCAAAAAGGCTTTTCAAAATTTTTTTATGATTAATCAGGCATATCTGGATATCTGAAAGTAGTCTCCATTCGAACCCCTTTTAGTAGCGAAGGGTTCGAATCTCTGAACAAAGGGTTTGTCACTTACCCCGCTCCTCCCGAGAATTCATGTCCAAAGTGTCAGCTTTTGTTCCTCAGATGTCTTCGTGTTGTAAGTTAGTGATGTATTGATCGATAGTGTGAGGTTCAGGGGCGGATTTAGGAGGAGGGGAGGGAGAGATGGTCGATAAAATTTTTGGAAAATCCGCACCCCCTCGAGAAAATCCTAGATCCGCCTCTGGTGAGGTTAGTCATCACATGATCGTGTACCGTCATCGCGTGTGTGCATTTAGTTACGTCATCATCGTGATGGAGGAGACGAACAGTGGGCCGAATATGTCCTTCAACGTGTCCTCTTTGCGCACCTTCCGAGTGCTGCGTGCCTTGAAGACCATCTCAGTCGTACCAGGTATGTCTGAGTGATGTCCGGCAGCTGGTTGGAGGATCGAATCCGGATGGCGCCCAAAGTTTTTGTTTGTAATGAAAGAATCCTCAGATCGGCAGTGGATATTTTTTGAGATCTTCTTTGCTTTTTATGGTCAATTCAGCAGTAGTGTTCTATCCTCTTTGGGTCTCACCCAGGAGAAAAGAGAACATGTATTGAGATGCTTTTAAAGAACCCAAGAAGTGATCCCTTTAATTTGATTGGGATCTTATTATCGGATTATAGATAACGACGATGAAACGCTATTATTTAAGATTGTTGTTCATTTCTGAGTCTTCTTTTCAAATGAAAGATTTTTTTTTCTGTTCAAAAACTGCTTGTTAATCACGCCATTTTTCTTAGGACAATTTGATCATGAGTTACCGGGCCAAAGCGAGACAGCTTTCCAGTTCATTTATGAGAAATGCTCTTTTGTCATTGATAAAGTCTCGAAATGGTTTTTTTTTTGCTTTTTGAAAATGTATAAGAAAACTTTGAGATGAGAACCCTCAACTGAAAGCTGTGTTAACTGCATGCATTCTTAATTTTGTTGCTGTTTCCTGATCAAAATCAATAGTTTATGACTTCACTTTTTAGCAATTAGTCATAATTCACTTTTTGGTTCAAACAAAAAGATGGATTTTTTTTTGTTATAAGCCATTACATTTCCCTTACCTCAAGCCTAGCAACAAAAATATATAGCCACATCACAGTAGGATTTTTCTATTGTGGGGGCTATTATTTGCTAGGGAGGCTAAAATTTGATGAGGCTATAATTGGAATTAGCCAAAAATGTATTGATACGTGTACTGTTCGTGATTGTGATTGTGGTTATGCTTGTGTGTAGGTCTTCGGACGATAGTGAATGCACTGTTGAAATCTCTCCGGATGTTGATGGAGGTGATGGTTCTCACTCTCTTCTGTCTCTGTGTGGCCGCCCTGCTCGGCCTCCAACTGTACATGGGAGTACTACGCAACAAGTGTGTCCTCAATGCACCCAAACCCCTGAACCACTCAGAGTATGACTCATGGATCAATGATGAATGTACGCACTTCGTCTAATTTTGGCGATATATTTCAATAGGTCGCAGGCTTTTACTGAAGGCTCTGAAATGGTCCGGGTTAGAATCCTGGTGAAGTGAAAACCAGGTTTTTTTTGCTCAACTGATATCTAAATTAGTTGCATCTGCCACCCATTGTAATCTATCACCCTAATTGATATTATTCAAACTGATATGATCCAATAATGGACACAAGTAACATCTATGAACCATTTTACTAACTCATTTATTGACATATAATTCACATAGCCATCAGTTCAATCGCGCAAATCATATCAAGTATGTCGTGGGCAGTTTTAGTATAATTTTGGGATAGAATGAGTATTATTATTATTTGACCTTTGACTGAAGTTAACGCCAAGTTAGGTTAAATTTGTTCTCCCATTAAGTAAGTTTTGATGGTTTAAAATTATATTTTCAACATCCGTGAACTTTTTTGATCGCTCTTTTGAAGCCCGAAGTATATCCACTTATCTGTATGGGTCCATAGTTTTTCCATCTGGTATCCTGTATTCATGGTTAGATTATTTTATTCACAACCTCTGTTCATTTTGCCCATGTCGATCATTTTAGACAACTATTACCTCCTGTCCAGCATCGCAGCGCCTCAGCTGTGTGGAAACTACTCCTACTACATCCCGTTAGTAACATCACCGCTTTTACATAAGATTTTGCAAACTATACAAATTTTGATTAGTTAATAGAACTTATTACACTTGCGAAAGCAATTGTCATGTAATCAGGAACTAGACTTTTTTCAGTAAATAACTTTTCTTACATCTGGAGTTGAAATTGAAGGTACGTTATTGTGGCGAACCTTAGCAACTTCGAAACTGCTCCACATTTGGCCTGGAGGTAACGCGGTTGTCTCTGTGCCCTAAGGCCCGGGGTTTGAGTTCCGGCCGGAAATTGTTTTTTTTTTCAGTATGTATGAAATTATAATCAAATTTCTGGGAAAAATTGAATTCTCGGACTTTTGTTTGTCTGCTTATGTGTTGTCGACTTAGTTGACACTTTGTAGATTTTTGTGTGCGGTCAGCAATTCTCTTCATAGACGCGAGTGTTTTTGACGTCTTACTGTAATTATAAAAAAATAAATAGCCCTGACTGTATATTTTTGTTCCGACCATTTGAAAAAATTGGGAGGAACTTTGAATTCGGGGTGTGTTTTATTTTTTTTGTTTTCCACGCAAAATCAGGTACCACAAATAGTCATCAGTGGATTATGTCGAGTGAGATATCATTTTAAAGCCGTTTCAGTGGTGATACGAACGATATAAAAAAATCAGGCAAGTTAGTTCATTGTTAAGGAAAACCCGTTTGAAAATTTTTGACTTTTGGTCTAATTTTGAGCGAATGAGGTGAGCAAACAGGATAACAATAACTTATTTATGTATAATTTAAGCCAAGAAAACTTAATTTAAATTTACTCGAGAAGAGTTAGTTTTTGTGGTTTTTATGCGCCATCTTTGGAATCAAAACCGTTCAAAACATTTCTTTCAAAATTCAAAAAGTTTCTGCAACAAAGTTTGAAAGCATTTTCGAAAGTTTTTTTTTGATTTTGTATACCAGTATTTTTTTCTTTCATTTTTCTAGTCATTTTTATACAAAAACTTTTTTCGATTACCTTTTTTATTATGTCTCAAATATTCCTGGGTTCTAGTTTTTCGTTCTAGAAAAAACCGTTAGATTTTCTAGGATTGTGGTCAGAATTGTTTGTGCTTCTTGCACATTAACCGGCTATACTTTTTTTGTTTTTGTTTCCCTTAAACCTTTCATTCAGCTTAAATGTTTCGGCTTTTGTTTCGTCGATTTAGTTACCTTGATTTGTTTCTTTTATAGGGCAAAAATTGATAGAATATAAAAATGAGAGGCTTAGAGCTGCTGTTTCTGTCTCAATGAACGGATTTTTGGCTTAGTGGCCTCTTCTTTAAAAATAAAGACCCGTTTAATGCTGTTTATTGAGTTTCTTGACTATTTTTCTGAATTTTTTTTCTTTTGTACCCAATTTTTTTTCAGTTTTGCTATTTCTGTCCTACTTTCTTCTCGCTTGCTTGCAATGCTGTGCTTGCGTTGCATTGCAAGTGATGCAAAGATCCGCTTCTTCTCTGTGTTTAATCACATTTGCCGTCGGCAAGATACATCTTGTAATTTTATCCTCCAAACAGCATTAAATGGTAATTGCTATCTAAAAGCAGGGGTGAAGGCGTACTCCTCTAATTAATTTGATTATTTCATCGTCAAAAGGATCCCTTTTGATGTTATTCTCACACCAACGTTTGTATTATTGTCACCAATATTGGTGCTTTTGGACGACCACCGCCAAAAAACGAAGCGTGAAAAATTTCTGAACGAACTGATTGCCTCTATAAATTAGGCTGGTAATAGCATTCAAGTTATCACTGTGAGGTTCTAGTTTCTGCAATGATGATTTAGAATATGATGTTTGTAGAGTGTGTCCGAAGAATTACACGTGTATAGAGGTGGGCGATAATCCGAACAGTGGCTACACAAACTTCGACACGTTCGGCTGGGCCATGATGACCTCCTTTCAACTCATTACACTCGACTTCTGGGAAAACGTCTACGACTACGTCAGTATTTTACCTTCTCAGTATCTTCTCAAATCTTTTTGTTCCTTCACACTGCCTCGAAATAATAAATAAAAAACTAAGCAAAATGGATAACAAAAACTTTTTTTTGGGTATTCGCTTCATCAAATATTTGAAAAACACTTAATGAAGAACAAAATTTAATGAAGAACAGAAAAAAACTTCGGAAACCTAAGATTATCTGGAGCTCTGAAGTTATCTACGACTGGTTACGAGTTTCAATGGCTGTACTGCTTAACGTTCTTATAATGCCATGCGCAATTGTAACATGTGGGTCAAAATTGTATTGTGTTGTTATTATTAATTGCAGGCTGTCGTACCGAGTAGTTTTGGAAAGAACTCATTTGAAGGTGGTAGTTTATTTGTTCCGAGCACTTAGAGAGAAGAAACTCATTTGGTCTCTGTGCTGTGTTTAGCTGTTGCGTGCAGCTGGCCCCTGGCACATCTCCTTTTTCATAATCCTCGTTTTCTTTGGCTCCTTCTACCTCATCAACCTCATGCTGGCTGTGGTGACCATGTCCTACGAAGAGGAGAGCGACTCGGTCGAAAAAGAAGAAAAGGTAACACCCCCCTTCCACTTCACAACCATATCACCCACTCAGACCCCCCCCCCCCCTCCTCGCCACCTCTTATCAAAACGGCATCAGGCATCACTTCATCTCCACCCGTAAACCGCAGCTAATTTATATCTCCGACTCCAGTCTTAAATCAAACGCCAACATTGCGCAATTTAAACCTCTTTCTAGATTCCCTAATTTCTAGATTTTCATTCAGATCCTTTTAGCAGACAACGCACAAATACTACAAAAATTGGAAAAAAAATACGTATTTTTTTATGATTTTGGTTTGATCATTCTGTGCTACTTGCGTAGCATCCGGCTATAATTGCTTTTAAGAGTCAGTGAACGTACTTCAGACTCTTGTATAGATCGCGATGATTTGTTTCGTTTTTTTTCGGGAATTTATTTTTCGCGTTTTGACTGTTGATTTCAGTTCAGTTCATTTCCATCGAGAAAGTTCCAGATCCGCCTTTGCATAAGTCGAACTTCGGCTATTGTTCCGATCATTGAAAAGGGGGAGTAACTTTGGTTTCGGTTGTTTGTTTTTTTGTTTTTTTTTTTTAATTTTCCTTTGAAAATCAGGTATTATCAACATCGCTGTGTCGAGTGATCTATCAATTTAAAGCTCTTTCATTCGTGATCGACCGACATACAAAAATTTTCTCAGTGTCGAGAAAAAACCGTTCAAATTTTTGGATTTTTCGTCTAATTTCGAGCAAATAAGGTGAAGTAGAGGGATTACAGCAGCTTATTTATGTATATTTTTTTGCCGTGAAAATTTAGTTATACTCGAGTAGAGTTAGTTTTGGAGTTTTTTTGCGCCATATTGGGAACCAAAAACTCAAAATTCAAAAAGTTTTGATTTTTTTTATCCGAGTTTTTTTGGTTTGTCTAGTCTTTTTTCTACAAAAACTGATTTCCAATGCCTATTTTTTATGACTGTCAAATATGCCTAAGTTCAAGTGTCTCGTTCTTGAAAAAAAACTGTTTTTGTATTTCAGACTATGATCGGATCATTCTGTGCTACTTGCGCAGTAACCGGCTATCCTAGTTGAATAAGGCATTACAACTTAAAAAAAATAATGAGTTATAGTTTATTTGATGATGTGTAAACGAATAATTAATGTTGGTTGTTTTCAAATTTAGGAAGAGCAGGAGACCAAAGAGCAAATGGAACAACTGTCTAAGTGGAAGAAACAAGAACAAGAAAAAGCTGCTGCAGCTGCCGCTCTCATTGCTGCTGGAGGCGCCGCCACCGGTTTGAATCCAGGCGGGAATCGTAAGATTTCGACTGGCAGAAAAATTTCGAAGAGTTTTGGTGAGGAAAGTGACAAAGAAGGAACTAGAAATCGAAAAACGAAATCGAGCACCGTCTCGGAACCCGGTGACATAGCGGGTGCCGCCGCTGCATCCTCGGATCTTGCCTCCTCAAAAACAAAGAATAGCATCAAGGGGTCGCAAGATAAACTAGCCGACAGCGAAAAGGCTCAAGCGAAAAGAAACAGCTGGTCGAGGTTTAAAGAGTCCGGCAAGGTAGGTTCATTGCTAAAGAAGCCGTTCAAATAACCCCAGAGCTGAGGTTATTGTTAAATGCAGTCAAAACGACTTCAATGAGCTATTGGTTCTTTCTGGAAGAAAAATTTTCTTGATAATTTTATTTTCGGTAATATGTTGAAAATTTATTCTTGAAAACTTTATTTAGATCTCTCATTAAGTGATCGCAGAAAACACTTCGCAGTTTTGATTGTCTGTCCGTGTGTTTTAGAGGGGTTCCGAAGGGGGTGCTTTGGGCGATACTATTGATGAAGGTATTGGGGACGATGGGGAGGAAGAAGATCTGGACTTCGAAGACGACGATGACGATGAAAGCAGCCAGGGTCTCCCAGAAGGTAGTCAGAAAAATCTATCATGCAACATTTTAAAAAGTTTGAACCTATATAAAAATTTTTGTCAATTTTAAAAACATTCCTTTTAACTCCTTTTTTTGTATTCAAAAGCTTAATAAATCCTAATTATAAAATTGAAGTGTGAACTGTAATCCTTATCTTGATAAACGCAGATAGAACTTAGTTCTCAAACTTTTGCCATTAGACACACGTTTTAAACTAATTTATTCTACTCAGATCCTCAGAAACAGTTGGAGCGATTGAATTCTATGTGGTGTTGTGGCAATGGCTGCACCAAGGGCTGCTGTGGATGTTGCGGGCCACCCGACACCAACAGATGGCTCCCGGTACAACTTGTTGTCTACAAGTGGGTCACAGACCCCATTTTCGACATAATTGTCACTCTGCTAATCGGGCTGAACACTCTATTCTTGGCTCTCGATTACCACAACATGCCAGCTACTCTGGAAGAAGTTCTGGGATGGGGAAATCAAATTTTCACCGCTTTCTTCATGGTAGAAGCGCTTCTGAAGATAATAGCGATGGGCAGCGAGTACTTCAAGAACAGCTGGAACGTGTTCGACTTTGTGATTGTTCTGTTCAGTATTCTAGAGGTCATTATATCGGCGGTGTTTCGTAACGACGGGTTCGATGGACTTACCATCCTACGAGTACTTCGATTGGTAAGTCTTTTTTCTGTACCGTTCCAAAGCCGGCATTTGAGACCCGTACTTTCTGCTAGAACGAGCAATCATTCTTCAAAAAGAATTTATTCCTGTTTTCGTACCCTTGCTTAAGTTTGTTCTGAACTCAATAATTGAATATTGAGCTTGGTACGGTTAATATATAAATGGATGCTTGAATATAATTGAATGATAGATGATCTTTGGAACAGAAACTTTCAAAATTTAACCAAAATACTGGATTGCTTCACTAATGTTTGTTTCCAGATTTAGTTGGACTGTTTCAATTCTTTTTGTGCTTGTTTTCGTTTCTGCTTTTACTGACCAAAATCATTACTTAATTTACTTTGGCTCATAAATGGTTTTTATTTGATTCGTTTGAAATGTAATCTTATTTTAGTCTAATATGCAAATATGAAAAATTAAACAGCAATTAGGAAGCCGGTCAAAGTAATTTAACAAGTTACTCTGATTCTAGAACGTTCTGATTACGCATTTCATCAGAGCTACGAGCAGTTTTACTGTTTCGCTGAATATTTTTTACAATCTGCTGCAATTTATGCCCTATCTGCAATGAAGATGTGGTATATTTTTTTCTACAACTGAACAATTTTTGACCCAATGATCTTTTTGACGCCAATGATTTTTATATGATGTAAGATTACAAAATGTTAAATAAGAAAAAAAAGCTGGCAAGATTACAAAATATATGTGGTATAAGAGATGGAGTTAAAAACAGAGCCTAAAATTCTAGCTGTTATTATGATAGATTGCTACAGGGCAATTGATGAAACAATGAAAAACTATTATTCTCCGAGTTTTCACGCCATTTTTTTTTTACTCTGACCACTTCGTGAAGTGAAGGTAAAGAATTATGGCAGACGTTCTCTTTTTGTTCCTCGTGAATATGATTACCCTAAAGAAAGCTCACAGGGTGTCCGTGTCGTGATTCAGATTTCTAAAAGTTTCAAAAAAGTTCCCTCAGTGTCTAGAAAAACCGGTCTGAGTTTTTCAGGCTAGATGACACCAAGTTTGATAAGGACACACGATGAGAAAATTTTTATTTCTGCAATATTAACGTTATTGTAGCTATCATAACTTCTCATTCCTGCATTTCAACCTAATTCAACTATCATTTAAAGAAAAAAAAAGCTGGCAATACAGACAACAAAAAAGAAAACTTATCTGAAAGAAGAAACGCAGTATCAAAAACATTAACATCCATCGAGATAGACGTATGAAGTGTTGCAGTATTTTTTTTCGTTATTTTTTCAAACATTATTTTCGACTGAGTGGCTCCCGTCTTTTTCCGTGTCCGCTAGCCTGCAATGCTATTTTTGGATTGTATCGCGATGCGAAGAAACTCCTATTCGCCTCTGTTTAAAAAAGTGTTTTTGATAACGCGTTTTTGTTCATTTGTTCACGCCAGACCAGATACTAATAAAAAAGCGTCAGGTTTATGTCGATGAGAGCTCATCAAAAAGTTTGAAGTAATGAATAAGGGTTTTCGTTTTTTTCTACAACATACTAGTAGTGTATGTCAGGAGCGCTAGTAGGTCGATCGCTAATCATAGTAATATGAGGCGATATGTTAAGTGCTGTACGTTAGTTTTTACGTAAATGCTTTTCCCCTCCCCCAGGCCACCCTCGCCATTCCGATGTAAAACGCCAAATGTTAAAGAGTTTGCGAAAAAATAGCTTGTTGAAAAACTTGGCTAATTGATATCTTTCCTCTGAATGCTGGTGCTACATTTGCTGAACTGCTCAGTTTGTGTTAAACAAAAACTTTTCTGATATGACTCACCGCTTATTCAAATGTCAACGAAAATCGTCTATCAGTCAAAAGCTAACCGTTTCATTTTACAGTCACTGGACAAAGAAGTTGTAATTTTTACTTTTTAAGCGATGAATCGAACGAAAAGTTTTTCAGGTTTGTGCCGTTTTCTCTACTACTACTTGACATTCACGGTTGAAATTTTAACACATGATGGATGAAATTGTTTTTCAGACAAAAGGCGGATGAAAACCGTAAACCGATGATTTTAAAGCGTAGTTTGGCCATTTAATCAGAGGTTGTCATGTGTTGTTTGTGCCAAGAAGTCCGTAAACATAGAAGCGGCTTGAAGCTATTGACCTTAAAGTGTTCGTTGAAAGGCTAAGGGTATAAGCTAGACCCTTATATAGGTTTTATTTCACATAAAAAAGAAATAAAATTTTGTTAAGCTCTCAAACAGAAGTTAAGTTGACTGACAGAAATTCATCAATTTGTTTTTTAAAATGTCAAAAAATCTGAAAAAATATTATTTTGTAGCTGAGTAAATATTTGTATTCCTTTATAGGTAAATGAAAACCTAGATGAAGACCTAGCACAGCTCTTAAGCTTTCTAACGAATATACTAAGTTTCAAGCTGCTTCTGATGTTTACGGGGTACATATCTCTAATGCCCTCTGATTAAATAGCTAAACGACGCTTTAAACTCAAGTTTTCAAAGAATTTTTTCCGAATATAGTCTGAAAAACAGGTTCAGTCATCATTTGTCAAAATTTCAATCGTGAATCTTTAGTAGTTGTAGAGTTGTAGAAATTTTCGGTGATTGCAACTTCTGTGTCCCGTAACAGTATTTCATTTCATTGACTTCAGTTTTAAGTTTTCTTTTGCTTTCGGATGCTTATCTGTGAAATGCTTCACGGCACAAAAAAGAAATAAACATGAAATTCTTTTACGGATGCTTGTGATGTAATAAGTTAGTCAAGGGCTGGACAGGTAAAGTTCAATAAATAGGGCAATTGAACGGGATATCTTTAACTATCTTTTCATTGCAAAGGGTTGGGACTCTGTACCGTTGATTTCACATGCTCCTTAACGTTGATATAGTCTTTCATGGTTACGTGGTTAGATTTTGCTATATCGTATTGGGGAATTAATTAAAGCAGGTACTTAAGGAAATAGTTATTATGAGTCGATGAGCGTAGTTCAGACTCTTATATTGGTCGCAATAATTTTTTCCGATTTTTTTTGCAGGAAAAACTTTTTCGTGGTTTGACTTTTGATTTTTTTAAATTCAGTTCATTTCTTTTGTTAAAAGGAAGGCAAACTCCACTATCGAACAGCAAAAGCTTTAAGGTCATGAAATACGTGATTGACTTCTAATAACGATTTTCAGGTTTTCCAGCGGAATAAAAACGTTACCTATTGAGCCTGTTTTCTCAAATTGATTTTATTTTAGCAAAAAAGTGTCAATCATAAGTTGTTCTAGAATTTCAAAGAGATTTTAGGTCACCTAATTTTTCTTTGAAATCGAATTGAGATTTTTTCAAAAAAACCAATGAGTATTTTTTTTCTGTTTTCTTGAGTTCATTGACTCTTTTCCATCTGTCTGTTGGCAATGTTTATGAGTGAAAGTCGCTTTTTTAATTGAATTTCTATCTAAAGTCTGTATCAAGTTTATATATCCATTTTATTCTTACTTTTAAAACTTGCTTAGCGCTACAGTTATAATACTCATTTCTGATTCCTAAAAACCATTTTGAACTAAGTTAACATTCTTAAAGCATTCTTAAACATTCTTTCTTATCGGGACGGGGATAAGGTGTGATGAATTGATTTGCTTTCTTTTTTTTCGGTAGCCACAACTACATTTCTTGTTGTAATGTAGTGTTCTTACCTACTTAAAGAAATCATTCAAATCTTGAACATAAATAAATTAAGTGTATTTAGTATGAAACATAACTATGGCTTTTTTGGTGATTTGGAGTTCAACAATTTTTGTCTTCTGAGTCAGTTCGAAAAGGGTTCTTAGATTCAGTTTTAAAAACGAAAATAATTAAAATTTGACTATGATCCCCAAATTTGGATGGTCCCGTTCTTTCTAGTAATAAAAATAGCTGAGTTTAAAAAAATAAATTGTTGAATTATTCAACCAACTTATTATAGCAAAGAAAATGGTTAAATTTCACTAATAATCTGTGAAAAATTTAATCATTCTCAGGTGGTATATTCGTAAATAATTCGATTGTAGTGTCTGTTTTTTCAGCTTTATTGAGAAAACCGAGAAATAATTGAGATGGACATGTTTTTGTAGTTTGTTCGAGTGGTAAGACTATTTCATATTTACTATCAGATATCCTACACGTGAACGACCAACTTTTCATTCTTCTGATAGTTTTCTTCTGTTCTTTCTCTATTTTCCATCATTGCCTGCTTTGGTGTGTCGACCTTTCTTTAATTGGCATAAAACCAGATTATCATAAATTTAAAACAGGTAAAGGTTTGTTTTTAAATTTAATTATATAAATTTTGCTGCATATGTATAAAATCAGCATTGCTGTTTAGTGTTAAATAGCGAAGATTTTTTTTTCATTCAGATATATTTAGCTCCAAAATTTGAAATTTCGATTTTTTGAAATTTGGTTTAGTCTGGGTTTATGCTAATTAAACAAAGATCGTCTTATTTGTGGTGACGATATTTGACATGTCTATTTGTTGTATTGCTTGCTAGGGATGCAAAATCAAAAGGTATTTGTTCTTGCGGCTATGATGTTAGATGAGCCAACTCAACTAGGGTCTTTTTCAACCCAGCCTTCACCCCACCCCAGGTTTGCAAATAGGAGAAGGTATAATGGATTCATAATTTATATATGCTTATCCATAGACTCAGAGTGGGAGGATTGTAAAGTTGATTTCTCAAAGTGAAAATTATTTAACCATAAAGTTTTTTTGGTTTATATTTCATCAAATTAAGCTAAATTTGACTAAGATGTGCCGAAATTGGGATGGCTATCATTACTAGTTTTAATGGTGATTCGAAGGCTTTAAGATTTAAAACGTTAAAGGCTTTCTATAAAAATTATTCAATCTTTCTGCATCCTTCATTAAAACGCTAAGCCAACTGTCTGTTCGCAATGTTCGAAAAGTTCTTTCGACGGAGGTAGCGTGGATGCAAATTAAGTTCAGTTCATTTCTTGTGTTAAAAGTAAAGCTAACTCCACTATCGAACAGCAAAAGTTTAAAGTTTACGAAAAACGTGATAAACTTCTAGTTTCGAAAATGGATCTTAATTATCAGATTTCTCTGCGAAATAAAATTTAAACCATTTGATCCAATTTTCTCTAATTGGGTTAATTTTATGTAAAACGTGTCAATTATATATATTTTTATAAATTCAAAGAGCTTTGACGCTATCTTTGTTTCTTGTAAATTCGAGACTTTAAAATAAAAACAGGTCAGTATTTTTTTCTGAAAAGTTTCGAAAATGGATCTTAATTATCACATTTCCCGGCGAAATAAATTTAAACCATTTGATACAGTTTTCTCTAATTGGGTTAATTTTATGTAAATGTGTCAATCATATTAATTTTTTAAACTTGTTAAAATAAAAACAGGTCAGTATTTTTTTCTGTTCATTGACTTCTTTTCAACAGTCGGTTGCCTATGTTTCTCTAAATGCAGCTGTATTCAATTAAGGTCAATTCTTATATTCTTTTTTTAGGCTTTCTTTCCACACCGCGCAAAAAAAATTGCCTATTTTTTAACTGGAATGTCAAGTTCGTTTTAAGTACATGACGGAACTTTCTGTGAGACTCGCACACTAACCGGATGCTCTTTAATGATTTTTATATGATCTTAATCAGCTTTTTTTGCTATGTTAGCCTCAGTTTGTTGTGTAATCTCATACTAAGGAAACTGACAAAACTAGGTGTAACATTTTCCAACTTAGTGATGCTAATCAGTTTTTGGCTAACTCGTTTCATTTTTTTGATAAAGCCAATGTCCCAATAGAAGTCGTGTATTTTAGCGCGTTATTTAGGGCCTGATATCTACAATTTCAGTGTGCGTGAAGGTAATGGAAACCAAGATGATATGGGGAAGTGGTAAAAGCAAGTGAGTTTTTGGGGGACTGAGTTTGAATCACCTTTCCGAGGTATTTTGTTCCGGTTACTCTCGAAGAGTGGGAAGGAACTTTAGATTCGTATCAGTTTTTTCTTCAGCAAATTTTGACTACCTCAAGGAAAGCTCGGAAAGAATCACATGGGGTATCACATTAAATCCCTTTTGGTCTTTATTCGGATTGCAAAAAGAAAATTCAAATAAGTTCTCCCAGCGTTGAGAAAACCTAGTCTGATTATTTAGACGAACTTTGATTATCGTCTGGCCTCCCAAATCAATTCAACTGCAATTTCAGTTAATTTTTTTCTGCTCTCACTTATCATTCTTTTGTTTTTTTTTACATAATTCCTTAAATTTTTTTTAAGAACTGTCTTTATTTCTGAATTTCTTTTCTTGGTTTATGGTGGTCGGAACATTCTGAGCTTCTTGCACAGCAGCCGGCTATCCTTGATCTCTTTTGAAACTGATTTCTATTCAATGCATATTTTTCTTCACGCACAATTCATGAACAATTTTTAGCATATTCTACCATTTTTCTTTTTGCTCAATTTCAAATCTCCTCTGTCGTTTTTTTTGCTTGCTTTCGCAATGTGCAGCTTCGCAACTGTGTTGTTGTTTTTATTTGGGAAAAACAGGAGATGGCAGATGCTGAAAAGAAAACGTAGTTTATAAACCAATTTTCTGAGAAACTGATTTAAAGTGGACCTTAGCTTCGTTTTGGTTCGTTTTTTAAAGTATTCCGGTAGATGACAAATAAAAAAATTCCGGTAGAATATAAAAAAAAATTACAAATTTTTCGTCGATAACATTTCTAAAGGCTTCTATTAAGTAAAATTTTCAATTTATCTGTATAACAAGCTTTCGAAAGGTCGTTTGAACAATAATGAGTAGTTTTAAAGTTACCCTGTTGTTGCATAGCTGATTTTATGTTTGAGCAGCTATTATCAAGTTTTCTAAACTGCTGTCTTTTGAAATTTATTAAATCTCCTATATCTGAACGGGAATGACAGGTCAGGCAACGTATGTAAGTACCTATCTCGGAGATTCTGTGAAACCAAAAACTGTAAATCCAATATTCTAAATTTGTCAAAATACGAAATTATAATTTTTCTTTAATCTATTTAAAAAAAAGAGGTGTTAAAAAAAGAACCCACTATATAAAATATGGGATTTTCTTTTATAGTTGAGTTTATCTTGTGGACAGTTTTGTGAATTTCAGAACTCTGCATCGAATACGCATGTTTGTTGAAGCGCCCCACCTAAACGTCTAGTTGTTAAAACGAAGTAGTCCGGCAAGCCTATCTAATGCGGCATCTGAAAGATAATAGAAAACAAGCCAATTCTATCTTAAGTTTTAAATTTTTTCGATGATTAAGTTACTCATCATAGTGGAGGTCAAAAACGTTTTGTTAGGTCGACCAAGTTAATTTTCTGAGCTCTCCCAAATCACTATAAACACTTGGGCAAATTTCGATTTAAAAATTGCTTTTTTTCGGCGCGCGCTCCTCCCTAAAAATTAGTATATATTGGCGCCAAAGGCACTTTTAGAAAAGTTTTAAGATCAGTCAGCCAAAAATGGATATCTCAAAATAGTACAAAGGGGGGACCCTTTGGGTCGACAGGGGGTCGAATCCCTAAAAGAAAAAAAAACGTCCGTCCCACCGCCCCCCAACCTTAAATCCACTACTGGTCATGACATGATTATCATAATTAATGGTAATATTTTAAAGTAGAGAGTAATTTCGGCTTGTTGGACAACCGTTTTTTTTTACATACCACTGAAATAATTAACTCCGAGTTTTTTGTTTTTGTTCAACAGATGAGGGTGTTCAAACTGGCTCGCTCTTGGGCTACAATGCGGGTTCTGCTGGCCATCATCTGGAGTACTATGGGCGCTTTGGGTAATCTGACTCTGATTCTGGTCATCGTGATCTACATCTTCGCTGTGATAGGCATGCAACTATTGGGAGACGGATACACGCAGATGAAATGGGACGAACTGTACGTCAATTCTACCGTTTTTTTAACGGTTTCACCTAATTTTGCAGTCGTTTTTTGCAGCAGTTTTCTAAGCAACAAGAAACGCCAGTTCTTCATTTGGAATTTTTTAAACTAATTTTGCAGTCGTTTTCCTAACAAAGCAAAAAAGATATATGCCTCGAGTTTTTTTACGGCCTGTACAGACTATACCAAGATGTCGAGACTATTAACGAAAATCAAACGAAGATCCGCTTATGGGAAATCAAATTTTTACAATTTACACATTCAAGGCACTTTGATGTTATCTGAAACTTATCCTTCGCTTCGATCCTAACGTGTCATCGTGATATCGGAAACAACTTGTGTTTCAATAAAGACTAACATACGAGCTTCTTTCGGAAAACCGCTGCTGATCGATTGATTACGTCTAACATGCAAACCCTCGATTTCTCTGAAAAAAAAACATCATGGTTGGTCTCAATCACGAAAAACTTATCTCAGAGTAACCAGTATTTTCACTCTCGCTCTCCTCGTGGTATTTTGAGTCATCTGTTTAGCGGCCTAAAATGACGGTGGACCAAATTGACATCCTCTCATTTCCCAAAAAAAGTTCCATGGGAGGGGTTGCTTGCTTGATCGTTGAATCTCTCATACTTTGAAACATGAGTAACAGTGCTTGAATCTGATTGGTAATTATTAATGCAAACCGAAACAAAATCTGTTGCAAGTCGGGCCGTTATCCAGTAAAGATCCTTTGTCGGCAATCTGGAAATTGAAGTGGTTGTTTGTTTTGTTTAGGGGCGACCCGCTGCCTCGGTGGAACTTCAGCAACTTCTTCCACTCCTTCATGATGGTGTTCCGCATCCTCTGCGGAGAATGGATCGAGGCCCTGTACGACTGCATGCGGGCCAAGGGAGAGATACTCTGCATGGCCATCATCCTCTCCACTCTCATCATCGGAAACTTCCTCGTCAGTTCTCACTTATTGCATAACACCATTACATAACATATTTCATCATAAATATGCATTGCGGAACAGTGAAAATGCGTCAATACAGAAATATATGTCGCACAATTTTTGAAGCTTTTCTCAAGAGGATAAAACAACTGAATTTTTTGTCATTGACCAGGTTGAGTTTTACCGGAATCGATATGATGAAACTATGATTAAAATTTAACGGTCTCTTTAGAACAAACTTGACTTGTTTCGAACCATGGTCGTAATATCTTGCATCTTCACCCCTTTGAAATTCATAATCTATTGAATGATTACCCTTGCGGTAAGAAGGGTGTTGCAACCAGGTACTAGACTTTCCCCTCAAATACCCATCTGTAGTTTCGTCATTTAACAGGCAAGTGACCGTTCTGTTCAAAATTTAAGTTAGTTGTAAATTTACCAGCTTTGATTACAGTATATTAGTTTTCGTTTTTTTTCTTTATTCGGCTTAAATTTTGGCTTAAAATATCTCAGCTAAGATTTTTCACTTTTATATTAGTTAGTTGCACTGTTCCGACAACATCACGAAGTGAAAAACAGGAATTATGGCATAGGTTATGCTTTTTCTTGCGTTTCTACTACCTTAAACAAAGCTCGTAAGAATGAAGGGTGTTATGATAGTACAACTTGATTGGTCGTCATCAAGATTCTTTAATAAATTCAAAAAAGTTGTTAGTTTCGACAAAAATTGGTCTGAATTTTTCCGGTATTCAGAACAAATTTACTAAAATTGATGGCACTGAACTCAATTTTGATTGCACCCATCTTATTCTTCCTTTAAGCTATAACTACTTAGCTATGCTATGACTAAAAATCAAAAAGAATTCAGAAAAATTTTCCGATTGTTAATTTTCGAAATTTTGAAATAATAGTGGTCCGAACAGGATGGCCTTTCGGTAGTTAATCAGCGACAGGTCGCTAAAAGGTCGCTACTTCTCGACAGGTCGCTAAAAGGTCGCTACTTCTGTGGAAGTCGCTATTTTTGGTGTTCTATTTGTTTGCTTAATTACTAGTTTATACATTACCAAATTTTTCCAGATGCCATGGGCAAAACTAAACTGACCCAGGAAACTTTGAGAGAGTTTCCATTTCTGAGGCGCTAAATTGAGCTTACGTAAGGTCTCTAAAACGTCGCCATTAGTTCTTTTCTATGAGGTCGCTACTTTTTTTTTCATAAGAGTGGTCACCCTGGGTCCGAATATTCTGTGCTACTTGAACAGCAACAGGCTATTCTTGTTTGTTTTTTAAATTGTTTGTTTGTTTTCAGGTGTTGAATCTGTTTCTGGCGTTACTTCTGAACAAGTTCAACCAGGAGAACCTGAAGAAAGAGCAGAAGAAGGAACGAAGTCTCAAGGTGAATCATATCGCAAATTATTAAATAACTTTTTGTTCAAATATTACGAAACTCAGTTGAGTGCGTATCTCAATGCGTGTCGCATCTTTGTTGTTTGTTTTTTAACCAGCTGAGACATCGGAAAACTATCTCTTGGTGGTCTCAAAGTCTACAAGTGAAAGAGGACTGCCTTCTGAAAAAAATATATTTAAGTTATTATTAGTGGCTTAACATGATATAACTGTGTTAATTGTTGTTCGCGGTGTTTTTTGGCGTGAAATAGCATAGTAAGAAGCATGTCGGTATTTATAAATCCTAAACCGACGGTAATCAAAATACAAAAAAGAGTTAACCTCCGCTCTTTTTTCTTCAAATCCTACCCCTCTAGTCTTGCATTTTTGGAATCAATATGACCCCTATGTCGTACCTTTGAAAGTTAATTTTCATCAAAGTTTTATTGTTTTTATTACAAAAACAACTAAATTATGGTTTTATGTTTGTTACAATAAAATTCCTATCCTTTTTCAGCAGTTTACTTAGTTTGCTGAAATTTCTCGCAATTTCAATCTTAGTAGAAAGGTCATTTTGCAAGCAAAAAAGCTCTGATCAGATTTTTATTTATCTTTTTGCGAGTTTCAGATTTTCGACGTATATTTTTTCGCAAACAATTTGAATACTACCAAATTTTAATTAAAACCAAGGTCATGAAAATTGTTTCAGTTGGATTATGATTGTGAATGTAGTGCTTAGGGATAGCTTGGAAAATCAATTTGGTCGAACTAAAAAAAGGTCGACAAATTTTTTTTGGAAATCCGCCCCTTCTCGAGAAAATCCTAGATCCGCCCCTGGTTCAAACTATAGGATCTTGTCAATCATCCCCCTAATTGCAAAAGGAGTATGAGCTACTGGTTTGAATCGTGGTATATGCTTAACCGTTGAACTAGTTCTATATAATGTTGGGCATTTGTTGTGGGTTTTTCCCATTATAGCCCCTCAAGTACAGTAACAAATTTCATTATAATAGGGAGGCAATCCTTTGCCGAGGGCTATACGGGAAAAGGCCCTTTTTAAGTGGTGCATAGGAAGGAATTGTTAACTATATCAATAATATGCATGCGAGGTGATTTCAGGTTGGTTGGAAGAGACTGCAGGGTTTGCTGAAGAAGAACACGAGGGTACAACCCAGACTGCTGGACGTCATTAATGCAGCGAAGACTGCCACAGGACAGGACAATGGAGGCGGAGACGGTATGCGTTCTGATCTGAATGAATTAACTACAAGGGTCGTACATACAAAAATGATAGCTAGGTCCCCAAAATATAGATGTCACCGAAATTTTTTAATTGACTGAAAATTTTCTGCCAATCGATCGATCCTTCTACCATAATACTTTTTTCTACTATTCTCCTTGCAGAAAGCGCGAATGGCAGAACAGTTCAAATCCTGGCTGAATTTCCAAATCCTGGCTGAAATATAACATTTCCTTGCAATTTTTTTTACGGAATTCAGATCCAGTAATTACACTAGCGTCAGCTTAGTGTATTTTAAGCACCTTCTTTTTTTTCCAACCGCAGTCGCAAATATTCGAGCAATTTTTGGGGCAGCTTTTTAATAGAATGTGCTTTGAAATTCGTGTAGTTATATGTTGACACAGTTGATGCATATTTAATTCATCAAGTGAACCGATAAAAGCTATTTGTTCAAACAACATAACAATCATAAAAACTCGGTTTCGGAAAATATCTAACTCGATATCTCGCAATTGTTTGAAATGCATAATTTAATAGGTAATGTGGCTTTATGCTTTCCGATTTCTTACATGCAAACTTAGTGTGGATGCCTGGAGTTTGTTATATTCCAAGTTATTACTTGCAAAATTGTGTCTATTTGTATTTGGTGCCACTTTCGTTGCATCGCTTGGCAATTTGTTAGCATATGTAGCTGCTTTATTGGTGACTAGTCTTTTTCGGTTGTTAAGCTTGCGTGGATGAGTGGATAATGCGCGAGACTCTCTTGATTGCAGTAGGGCGCAGATCGAATCCTAGACCTAGCCGAATTTTTACTAATTCGAGGCTCATTTCTATTTTTATTGAATTTTCTAGAGCTGATTTTTGTCGTGTTCTGCCCAGTGTTTACGAAACGAAGTTTTGCTTCTGTGTATAGTTTCCTTTCTTTTTTCATGAGCCTGTAGGCGTTTTGCTGAAGCTTCACTGGACTAAAAATCAAAACACATCCACTCGTGAAACGTGTCTTCATTTAGAGCTACCTGGGAATATTCCGATTTATGGCAGCGCCTTGAATGTTCCGATAAACAACTGAGAAAAGTGAAACAAGTTTACCACCCGCATTTTCAAGTATAAAATGATGCATTTTGCGTCTTTTAACACAATATTTTGATGAAATTTGCCTCAATTCAATTTGGATTGATTTCCGAGCCGAAGTAATTGCTGCCTACGTTCTGCTTTACTGGAAGCAGGGGCGGATCTAGGATTTTTACGAGGGGCGGGGGCGGATTTTCAAAAAATGTCGAAAATTTTGTCGATTTTTTTTTATTGGTTGACTAAATTGATTTTCCGAGCTCTACCAAATCACTACAAAGGCCCTGTTTTGGCATAAATTTCTGCGCCTGAGGCAAAATTTTGAAAAAAGTCAAAAAGAGCGTTTTTAGGCACTTTCTGGAACATTTTGACCAAAAAATCGCGTCTTTTCGACGCGCGTTCCCTCTCAAAGTCTGTATATATTGTCGGTCCGTCACCAAAATTTTAGGGTCCATCACCAAAAGTGGATAACACGAAGTAGTACAAAGGGGGGATCTTTTGGGTCGGCAGGGGATCCGCCCCCTAAATCCACCCGTGACTGGAAGATTGGAAATTTAGTGCTAAATTATTCCACACTGGCGATATATAAGTTCCGTAAGTTATTACACATGCGGGCATTGTTTTATATTACGAAGGTCACTCTTTCAATCTAGCTCGCTATTAAAAGTGCTAAATTTGGCAGTTTTATAGCATGTGTTCTCCACTTTATGACTGGCTAGAGTTTCGCGTCTGTAAGCATTAGTGCCTCAATTGAGTAGCGCAGTTGATTTGAATGCTGGGATTATCGAGGGCTGATGTTCGAGTCACGTTAATCGCATTGTTTTTTCGAAGCTCATTAATATTCTTTGCTTTTTCTTAACCTTTACAAAAGCTAATTCTTAGAGCTTTTTGATTGTGTTCGCGGAGTGATGTTTCGCCTTTGTGTTAGAAAATTGCTGCAGAAAAAAATCTTTCTTTTTATTCATTTTTAGGGCGGCAACGTTTGTAAAAACTCCATCAAAAATTGCAAGTTAAAAGGTCGAAGAAAACAACAATGACTGCCGAAGAAAAAAACAACTTGTTATTCTGACTGCACTTTAACGTTTCTGATGTAATTTTTGGCAAAAACGGAAAATTTTTCATCTTTCCCTTCGCGCAATGTCAAGTACAAAATGATAAATTTTGCTTCTCTTAACTCTTTTTTCTTGGATTCATCAGCTTGCCTCCATATAATTTGGAATGATTTCTCCGCCAACTTAACTCGCTTCCTACGCTACGCGTTAATGAATATTGGATCTAAAAGAAAGTTGTGCGCAAATTATTTGCTAGTGTTCAAACCCGCGTGACTTCAAAATTATATTAGTTTTGAGCTTAGGATTTCAATTTTTTAGATGTGCAAAAAAATTTGCTTCCACAAATATTGGTTTGAAGTTCGAAGTTGAACCCTATAAAATAGCCACATCTAGCACACTTATTTGTTCTGTTTCTTTGAAAGTCAAAACAACAACCACGCGGAGCACGAATATTTGGTCATTTTCCTCGAAAATTGGAATAACAATGTCGCCGTGTTAACTAGATTTTTACTCTTTTAAATAGTTTATAAGAAAGAGTTCCATTCTGAAAAATAATTTGAAAAAGGTAGTGTTTTGCCTTTTTAATCTTGTAGATAACGACGAGACCGGAAGTGGTAAGACTAGTTGAGTATACAGAAAACGGTTGTATGTTTCATCGCACCTGTATTGATTTGATTAAAAAGGTTGTTTCGGTCCACAGTTTAATTTAGTTAGCGTAGTCTAGGATTACTCGTCTTTCTTCCGGACAACCTTCCGCTAAGAGGCGAAAAAGGAACTTACTTTCTATTTTGATTTTTTGCCCCAAAAATAGGTACACCATTAAAATTTTAAAACGACAGATGTGGTTAATCATGCCGGAGCGCTTTTTAGGCAATTCAGATATTCAATAAAAACGATTGGCCAAAGCCGCGGTATCGAAAAAAATTATGTATTCTTTTCTTTTAGGCTAGAATATGCATTGTCGTTAATTCTAAATAGTTTTTATAAAATCTGCTGTTGTCATCAATTACTTACAGTTTGTGTTTTAAAATTGAGTTGTTCTTGACACAATTTGACCTCTAGATATAAACCTGACATCTCCTCTCACCGTAAATTTGATTTTTAAATGAATTCTCTGTATCACTTTAACGAAAAAGTTTCAAAACTTTTAATGTTGAGGTTTCACTAAATAATGGTTTCATAAATTTTCATTTATTTGCGGATACTTGTCGTGCCATTTTTAGGTTATCTTTTTTGTGTATCGTACAATGAAATATGAAGATAATCAAAACATCAAAAATGATTGATTGTTTTTGCTGCTATCCAGGGGGGATCTAGGATTTTCTCGAGGGGAGGTGGCGGACTTTCAAAATGTTCTGAAAATTTTGTCTACTTTTTTTAAGTTTCGGAGCGCGCCCAGAACACTATAAGGACTTTATTTTGACTGAAGTATTTGCGTCCCAAGTTAATTTTAAAAAAATAGTTAAAAAAGCCGCCAATATATAATAAAAAATTAGTATATATTGGCACTGAAGGCGCCTTTAGAAAAATTTTAGGGTCGTTCAGCCAAAAATGGGTTCTTAAAAGTACCACAGGGGGGCCTTTTTTCGTCGAAGTCCTGAGGGAAGGAGGCGTCTGCCTGACTCCCCCATAAATCCGCCCCTGCTGCTATCCATTTACTTAATTTTAGTATTTAATATTATCAAGTTTGAGCATGCATTGTAGATTTTTGGTGAATGTTTTTCAAAATTGGGATTGATATTGTTTTCAGGGAGTGGCAGTGATCCACAGCAAACGATCAGTCCCCTTCTGATGGCTTTACGAAGAGCTAAAGCCGAGGGCCGACTCGATGACGTCATTGAAAACACAAACGACCCTGGAAACGAGTCAATGATGCATGGCGCCGACAACCAGTCCAATGGACATGTCAGATCCTTCAAATCTTCTTCTGCTGCAACACGAAACGGCACCGACAACTCGAGTTCGGGACTTGGCCGAGCGTCGCAGATCTCTCGGGACAACCGCGGCGGTCACCGAGTCTCGTTCCAAAAGCAGGATGAAGACGAAAAGGACAGTATTGGCGACTCGTCGGCAGAAGTAGAATTGGTAGACTGCTTTCCGGAAGCACTTACGACTAACTGTTCGGGATACACGACTCTTCTGGATTCGAGTACTGTGGGTAAAGCGTGGATTGAACTGAGGCGAAGATGTTTCAACATTGTAGACCACCGTTTCTTTGAGTGGTTCATTCTGGGCTGTATTCTCATCAGCAGTATATCATTGGTTAGCAAATCTTTTTGCGACTTTTTTCAACCATGATGCGATCAACAAAGAAACGAGTCGATTGAGTCATCATGTAATAATATTTAAGTGATCATTGTGGTTGCTGCGATTCGCAGATGATCTATCGAAGTCTATCCAGCCTGTCTAAGGATAGTCCATTTCTCTGTATTTAAGTTCTCTTAGTCATAATTCGTATTGTTGTTGATCACAGAAAATTAGCTGTTAAGTGACTTAAATGGCGTACTATAGAGCTAACATTTTTATTCTGACCGTTATCAAATTGTGGATAAGGAGACCTATTCCGTAGTGTAGATACTGCAGGTACCTCAAAGCGGTTGACGGTTTATAAAGGAGGCAGAACAAACCCATCTCCCCTCGCTTTATCGGGGCTTAGGTACTTCTTGATACCACTTTACATCCATTTTGGTCAAGCAATCCTGAAATTTTTTTAAAGGCGCCTTTGGTCCCACTTATATACAAAAGTTTGAATAGAAAGCGAGCGCTGAAAAGAATCAATGTATTACACGCACTTCAAAAATGCCCGAAAACGTTGGCCTGGTTTTGGCGTCGCAGAAAATTGAGACAAAGAAGCTTCTTTATAGTGTTTGGCTGGAAAATCAAACTGGTCAACCTATAAAAAAAGATAGTCAAAAAGGGTGTAATCGTTATCACAGCAGGCATGTGATTACGATAACAAATAAATATTTCAGAAATGTTCTCGCAGTATCGAGAAGAAACGGATTTGAATTTTTCTGGTTTTCAGACTAATTTACGTCGGGAACGGGGTTTGAATGAGAAAGACTGAAGCCCCAATCTAATTTTACTGCATTGTTTTGCTTATCCGAAGAATAATTTAAAAAGCAAGCAGTAAGCTGGGAACAAAAAATCAATTTATAGTTAATTCCAAATTGTTAGGAATATGGGTGACCCAAAGCACTTATCGGTTAAAACGGTTCTTATTGGTTAATTAATTTTTTTGTTATGGTTTCTTCCGTGCCCGAAAGCATTTCTAATTTATTTTCTTCCGTCAAATTCGTTGACCAACAAGGATATTGCCAACAATTTGACATTAACAAAATTTGGCTAAAAACTGTGGTCTGAGTTGAGAGTTCTTCACTACTTCCACAAAGACCGACTTTTCTATTTTTTTCCAATTCTTCAAATCAATTTTGGTGGTTCATGAGCTAATTAACTATTCTACAAATTATTATGGAACACCCGATTTGAGAGCCATTTCGTACTATTAATTGCAGGGGGCAGATCTAGGATTTTCTCGAGGGGGGGGGGCGGATTTTCAAAAAAGTTTCAGAATGTTGTCGACCTTTTTTTAGGTCGACCAATTAGATTTTCTGAGCTCTACCATATCAGTATAAAGACCCTACTTTGACTCAAATTTTCTGCGCTGCAGGCGAATTTTTGAAAAAACTGGCCAAAAAGGCGTTATTAGGTGCTTTAAGGTGATTTCACCAAAAAAAATCACTTTTTTGGCGCGCGCTCCCCCCTCATAATTAGTATATTTTGGCGCCAAAGGCGCCCTCAGAAAAAATTTTGGGTCAGTCAGTCAAAAATGAATATCTCAAAACAGTATGAAGGGGTGGACCCTTTGGGTCGGCATGGAGTCGAATCCCTGAGGGGGGGGGGGGGGCGTCCACCTCCCCCCTCTAAATCCTCCCTTGATTAATTGTATGTGATGTTGTTTTTCTCTGAAGTTTTGTGTCCAATCTGAAGAGAATCTTAAGTTATCGAGTCCTGTTCCTCATATTTTTAGTGCTTAATTGCCAGTTACTTAAACTGGCTCATTTTTGTGTTATTAGCTCTGTAGATGAAAAGATGTTATTAGCTCTGCTGGTTGTTTTGAGGCTTTCTCTAATTTATGATTTCGCGAGAAGAAAGTTCAGTCTTTATCTTTTATCCCCGACTAAAAGACTCTTTTGATGGTAAATGGGCTAAACAAGAAGGCAGTTTGATGTCCCATGGGCTAAATATGTCTTGATACTGTCAAAGTGAATTTGAGCTATCAATCAAATAGGTCGTAAACGTGCCTGTTTTGTAATTAATTTTTTGTTCTATTGTCTCTCGAATATGATGTTAAGAAGGTCAGAAGTACTTTTTAAAAACCATTTGAACTTTCATGATGTAACGTAATAAGTGTTAACTCGGACAATTGTCTCGCACATGAATTTAAATGAATTCCGTATGAATTCTTGATTTTTCTTGGTCTTTCTTTTTATTTCTTAAATTAAAACGTCTATTTTTGTTTTTGTTTCCTTTTTTTTGATTTTTGGGTTTTTGATTTAAGAACGAATAATTAGTATCATGCAAAGTGATTGACACCGAATGCAAATAGACGGGTCTCAAATCCAATTTTGGGGAACTGCTATAAATGACATGCTGCTGAATTGACTGTGGCTGCATATTGTGGATATTTTTGTTGCATGAATTTTGATCTTTGAATTATTTTTGAGCGCATTTTTTCTTATGACCCAATGTCATGTTCGGATTTTCTTGCGTGAGGGGGTCGTGAAAGAGGGAGGCAAGGGGGGTCGTGAAAGAGCTCTGTAACGAGGATTCCATGCTGCGACGCTGTGCTACTCCCGTAGTAAGTCGGCTAATTTCAGATGCTTAAAATTTGCGACCCATATAGCTATGTTTAAGATTTGCGACCCATTATTGTCCGTTAAATTCTGAAGCGTTAAAATTTTTTGGTTCTGCCTATAATTTTTGTTGTTTCATACTCGATTTTCATATCCTTTCTTTGTTTTACAGGCGTTTGAAGATATCTACCTGAAGCAAAGGCCGACCTTGGAGTCGACTCTGGTGTACATGAACTACTGCTTCGTCTTCATCTTCTCAACGGAAATGCTGTTGAAGTGGCTGGGACTGGGATTCACAGTCTACTTCACCAATGGCTGGTGCTGTCTAGACTTCCTTATCGTACTCGTTAGTTGCGAAATTTTTTTCTTGTACTATCTAAAATATTTGAGTGTTTTTACTCAACAAATGAATGCTATCGGTCAAAATAAGTTGCCTACCTAATCAAAACAAAACTGCTCGTATCAGGGCAAAACCCTGAATTTTCTGACTGCCATTTAATTCGTCTCGAATAGTTTTGGTAAATCAACTATTGGCAAAACAATGAATTTTAGGCTGAGCATATTAAAATTTAAGTGTTACATTTTGAGTCGTGTATGGAATTGATAAAACAAGTTAGTTGCTTCAATTCAATTTGGAACGATTTTGTCGTGCGGGATAATTTGCCGCGCGTGTACATTATAGCAGTTTAACCAGCGTCGTGGTATGTTACTATAACAGTTTAACCAGCGTCGTGGCAGGTTACTATATTGATGTGCACACCAGGCTGGACGCATGCAGATCAAGAGATCGAGCCCGCGAGTGCCCAGAGTTTTGTAAAATTGGTCTGAATAAAAAAACCACCCGAGCATATATATTCTTCACGTTCTTCGAAGTCGGATTAATAAGTTGACTGCCAAAATAAGTTGTAAACTTTTCACCGAAAATGTGAAACTCTGAAACAAGTGTGGAGTTCTGCTTAATAGTGTTCTACAAATATGTTTTTTGAGTAAATAATTTAAGTTCCAAAACATCGTAGAAATAAAAAGAGATGTTATTTTTCCATACTATCATTTGAAAAATTTGTTTTCAGTCCTGATAGCAAGTGTATTTGTTATCAGGAGTCAGATTTTTTACCGTAAATAACTTTTTTTAGAAATTTGTCTGAAATTGTCCTTGTTTACAAAGCAAGTGTCTTGTAATCGGTAGCTAGAATTTTTTTACCGTAAAATTTTTTTCTTACGTATTTTATTTGCTTTTATTAATTGCTCTATTGAAGCTAAAAACTTATTTCGGCTCGCCGTGGCCTTTGCACTCTAAAGTCAGGGGTTCGAGTCCCGACCGGACCTTGTTTTTGTTCAGTATTTATGCACTTAATTTTTTAAATGAATTATGCTACAAAATTTTTTGTGTCTGCTCAAAGATAGCCGGCTTAGTTGCATTATCACGGGTTTTTCTTGTGCTATAAGCAACCTGCACTGAAGTTGCAAGTGCAAGTGTTCAATGTAGTTTCAGAGGAGGTTCGAAAATTTTCAAATTTTTTAAAATTGGATTAATTTTTCTTCCGTTTATTTGTCTGCTCGAAGATTGTTGTCTTTGTTTCCTTTTCGCAATTTTCATTCTTTCGATAATGTGTTATTCAAATATCTGGCATCTTTGCCTAAAATGAACATTTGTCGGCACTTTCGAAAATTTTTAATTTTTTTGAACCTAAGTTTTTTTCAACATTTTTTGTTTAGACTTCTTATGTTCTTTATTTTGTGTTGTATCGCAAGTGATGCCTCTATTTTTTTATGAAACTTGAAATTTTTTCGGGCATCTTCTCACTTGATCTTAAAACTTTTTACACGAGAAAGGTCTAATGTCAGAGTCCCAGCAGGAGTTGCTTTTCTTTGAAATGTGTATAAATTATGATTTGTTTTGAGAAAACTTGAATTTTAGACTATCGTTAATCTAATTTTTGGGTTTAAATTCCTAAGAATGGAGCATTTTTAAAATATCTTTTTTGTTCCGATTTAATTTATTGAAACTAAATTGAAGGTTGTTCTGTAATTTGCAAACTTACCAAGTCTGGTTTTATGTAGTTATGTTTTATTTATTTTATAGATTTAATTACCTTATTTCGCCTCATTTTAATTACTCAAACTTTTGGTTCTCATTATTTTAAGGGTCAGTTTGTTGGTTAAATTGGCGTCAAAACAATTTTTTTTCGGCTTTGCTACCCTGTAATAAATGATTTTGAATGCTTATTTAATAGCAGTGATTATGTTTTTTGACATTTTTCCTCAAGTTGAACATATTCTAGAAAATTGTATGAAAGTTTTGCAGATGTAGAACTCGAATTTGGTAGAAATGCTTTTTTCGGCTATTAATTTGATCTCGATTTTTGTCTGTTTTGGTTCTGTGTCATAATATTAAATCAGATTGAATATAGAAGTCAATACGATTTTGTTTCGACACTTCACGAAGTGGGAAGGACCTGTAAGCTAGGTATGATTACGAAGAAAGCTGTAGAGTTCCAAGTTTAGTATAATAACGAATCTTGACTTTCGGGGATTTGAATTCCCAGAAAACCTCAAAAGTTCTCTCAATGCCGACAAAACTTAGTCCGCATTTTTTTTGACTAAATGAATGGCATGAAGGTAGATTGAATTTTCATTTTCTGAACGTAATAATCGATAAAATTTTATGTAAATCAATCTTATTTTCACCTTTTTTGGAATCGCTCCTTTTTTTACAGAATTAAAAAAAAATTGGAATGTTATTTTTTCTTGTTATTTTTGTTTTCTTGAAACCAAACTATGTAGTCGGAAATTCCATTCTATGCTACTTGTACTCAAAAAGGGCAACTTAAATTCATACGCAAAGCGGAAACTTCGGCAATTTTTTAAATTATTTTTGAAAGTTATCAGCAAAAATACCAACCGAGATAAACCATCTTGTGTAGTTTTATTTGATTTATGTTATGTTGTTTTTCAATTTCTTATCAGTTCAATCCTAATATTCATTAATTTTGGTTACTTCTATATATAATTTTTTGCTTAAAATAGCAACCAGCGTAGTGTATTAGTACGAACCTACTTTTTTTCTAACCCAACTTTCAAATAAAAACGTTCGCTAAAAATGTTCACTTATTTGGGAATTTCACTGTAGCATTGGAAATTGCATAACCTTTGTTCTCTGCTTTATTTTGGGCTAACGTCTGGCGTCTATTAAACTTCCGTGGCTGAGTGGTTAGTGAGTGAGACTCTGAATCTCTAGGTCGCAGGTTCGAAACTCAGAGGTAGCTGAAGATAATTAATTCGAGGTTTATCAGCAATTTTGTTTTTGCAATTTATAGAGCTGCTTTTTGTTGTTTATTTGCGAGTGTTTGCGATAATTTACCCTCTTTCTGCTAATCTAAAATTGTTTATCCAAGTTTTTATCCTTGATTTTGCAGAGATTGTGTTGCGTTGACCATATAATTTCAATTCCAGATTCCGGAAAAAGCAGATTCTTGCATTAATAATTCCGAGAACAGCTTTTTTGTAACTATTTCAGTTAGTTTTTCAGAATTTTCTCAAAATAAGATCTTTATAGCGCTTATACAAGTTTTTTAACGACTTTTTAAAATACTTGCAGACGTTATTGTCGTCCAAATGAAGCTGCGAATTTGATTTTAATGTTTTGAAACCATTGAAGTGTAAGTTAAGCTCCTTACTAGAAATTTTGTAGTGTTTTACTCCTTTTTTTCAAGGGTCGATGAACGTAGATCTTTCTTCTATATAGGCCCTGATGTTTTTTTAGGAAACGTCCTAAACTTACCAAGTCTGGTTTTATGTAGTTATGTTTTATTTATTTTATAGATTTAATTACCTTATTTCGCCTCATTTTAATTACTCAAACTTTTGGTTCTCATTATTTTAAGGGTCAGTTTGTTGGTTAAATTGGCGTCAAAACAATTTTTTTTCGGCTTTGCTACCCTGTAATAAATGATTTTGAATGCTTATTTAATAGCAGTGATTATGTTTTTTGACATTTTTCCTCAAGTTGAACATATTCTAGAAAATTGTATGAAAGTTTTGCAGATGTAGAACTCGAATTTGGTAGAAATGCTTTTTTCGGCTATTAATTTGATCTCGATTTTTGTCTGTTTTGGTTCTGTGTCATAATATTAAATCAGATTGAATATAGAAGTCAATACGATTTTGTTTCGACACTTCACGAAGTGGGAAGGACCTGTGTGCTAGGTATGATTACGAAGAAAGCTGTAGAGTTCCAAGTTTAGTATAATAACGAATCTTGACTTTCGGGGATTTGAATTCCCAGAAAACCTCAAAAGTTCTCTCAATGCCGACAAAACTTAGTCCGCATTTTTTTTGACTAAATGAATGGCATGAAGGTAGATTGAATTTTCATTTTCTGAACGTAATAATCGATAAAATTTTATGTAAATCAATCTTATTTTCACCTTTTTTGGAATCGCTCCTTTTTTTACAGAATTAAAAAAAATTGGAATGTTATTTTTTCTTGTTATTTTTGTTTTCTTGAAACCAAACTATGTAGTCGGAAATTCCATTCTATGCTACTTGTACTCAAAAAGGGCAACTTAAATTCATACGCAAAGCGGAAACTTCGGCAATTTTTTAAATTATTTTTGAAAGTTATCAGCAAAAATACCAACCGAGATAAACCATCTTGTGTAGTTTTATTTGATTTATGTTATGTTGTTTTTCAATTTCTTATCAGTTCAATCCTAATATTCATTAATTTTGGTTACTTCTATATATAATTTTTTGCTTAAAATAGCAACCAGCGTAGTGTATTAGTACGAACCTACTTTTTTTCTAACCCAACTTTCAAATAAAAACGTTCGCTAAAAATGTTCACTTATTTGGGAATTTCACTGTAGCATTGGAAATTGCATAACCTTTGTTCTCTGCTTTATTTTGGGCTAACGTCTGGCGTCTATTAAACTTCCGTGGCTGAGTGGTTAGTGAGTGAGACTCTGAATCTCTAGGTCGCAGGTTCGAAACTCAGAGGTAGCTGAAGATAATTAATTCGAGGTTTATCAGCAATTTTGTTATTGCAATTTATAGAGCTGCTTTTTGTTGTTTATTTGCGAGTGTTTGCGAAGCTTTGCCTCTGTGTTAACTTTATATTTTCATACTGATAAAATGATTGCTTGAGTTACATCCTCAAAGCATAAATGGCCGTGCTCCAAATACTCCGAAAACAACGGATAGAAAAACTTAACAAAATTAAGACATTTGAAAATTTTCATCAAAAAGAATTTATTTACAACTTTAATGCGGTTTTATTTGCCACTCGCTGAAAAGATAATTTACCCTCTTTCTGCTAATCTAAAATTGTTTATCCAAGTTTTTATCCTTGATTTTGCAGAGATTGTGTTGCGTTGACCATATAATGCCAATTCCAGATTCCGGAAAAAGCAGATTCTTGCATTAATAATTCCGAGAACAGCTTTTTTGTAACTATTTCAGTTAGTTTTTCAGAATTTTCTCAAAATAAGATCTTTATAGCGCTTATACAAGTTTTTTAACGACTTTTTAAAATACTTGCTGACGTTATTGTCGTCCAAATGAAGCTGCGAATTTGATTTTAATGTTTTGAAACCATTGAAGTGTGAGTTAAGCTCTTTACTAGAAATTTTGTAGTGTTTTACTCCTTTTTTTCAAGGGTCGATGAACGTAGATCTTTCTTCTATATAGGCCCTGATGTTTTTTTAGGAAACGTCCTAAAGTTTGTTCAGGCTTAAATCCACTTTTTCGTGGTTTGACTGTTGATTTCTTTTCAAGTTCATTTCATTACTAGGGATCAATAGCGAAAGTGTAAAGGTCACGAAAAACGAGATCAAATTCCAGTTTCGAAAGTCTTAGCGAAATAAAAATTTTACTTTATGATCCAGTGTTCTCAAATTATGTTAATTTTATCAAAAAAGTGCCAAGCATAAATTGTTCTAGAAACTCAAAGAGCTCCAAGGGCATCTATTTTTTCTTTGAAATTCGTTAGTTGAGATTTTTACAAAAAACAAATAAGTTTTTTTTTCTGCTTACTTGCGTGCATTGACTCTTTTCCAACTGTCTGTAGGCTATGTTTTACTATTTTCTTTTAATTGTTTTGACGATATTTCGCATTGTTTTCTTCCTTTTTTAAACATTGTCCGTTTAATTTAATTTTTCTGAAGATAGATCAAAAAATTTGGCCCTTTTTTGAAAGCCAGGATATTGCATTTTATTAGCCCATTTATTAGAATTAGAAGCGCCGCATACAAGAGCCCATTTTTCACTCATTTCAATCCTTCCTTCAATTGTCATGTTTAACATAGCAAAATTCGGATCATAAAGCCATTGGATGCAGTGAAATTATTACATTGTGAAATTCTTTTTATCGCGATTGGACGTAGTACCTGAAACAAAGTATGGTCTTTCTATTTTGCCCTGAAAACCTCTACTCGCACGCTCTGAATTTATATTAAAAGAGATCGGGGTGTCTTGATCTTTCGGGAGCTAAATAAATCATTTGTAATTGTTCATTCGTTTAGGTGTCCATAAGTGGTATCGTGGTTGAGAACGTAGCTAACGTGGAGAGTCTGGACGCCTTCCGATCTCTCCGGACCCTCCGAGCACTCAGACCCCTTCGAGCCATATCCCGCTGGCAGGGCATGAAGGTAATTAAAAAACACAATACTTAATCAACTCTAATCAGGTTTTGAAAGAATTATTTCAAAATGTTTATCGGCGAAGTAAAATTTGGCATAATAGCTTATTTCTGGGATGAAAATATTTCAAAAAATTGTTACCCAAAAATGACCCTTTGATAAAATCGTCTGTCTGTAAATTGTCTGAAAAGTAACCCTTATACGGTCGAAACGTTCCTGCTCAAAAACTACTGTGGGGTCCTTTCCAAACGAGTTTTTTTTTGTTATTATTTCTAGAAATTTTATTCATCATTTGAGTATGTATTAATCGACAGGGTGGGTTTGAAGCAGATCAGTTGATCTCGTTACCTACCGTTTTATAGTTCAGTGCTGTTAATTTTCTGGAAAAAATGAGATTTATGTTTCGATAACTTTGATAAAATCATTGTTCTTCTTCCTCATCACAATGAATTTATCGTGGTTGAGCTGGCCCTTTTTTTAACACTTGAAAACGTTTGCGAATGAAGAAGCACAGTAAGTTGATAGTTTAATATTGGTTTTTGTTTGTAGATAGTGGTGAATGCACTGGCCTCTGCCATCCCCTCCATCCTCAATGTGCTCCTGGTTTGCATAGTGTTCTGGCTCATCTTCAGCATCATGGGAGTGCAGCTGATGAAGGTAATCACTTCTGCATTTTTTCTGGATTCTTTTTTTAAAAAAAATGTACGTATTTAACACTTATTTTGCTTTAATGTCACATATTCAGTAAATGATGAGGCAAAAATTCAATTTGGTTTTATATTTTTTTTTCAAAAGCTAAAATTCGAAATATCTGAATGAGTAATTATACCATATTTATCAAATTTAGAGAAGTTATTGGAAAACTATGTTAAAAATCGAAGAAGAGGAATCTTATTGAGCAATTTTATGTCTTTGTCAATGCAGGGTCGTTTTTACGCCTGCTACGAGAGAGCCTCAGGGGACATGTTGGAGTGTGGAGACTTCCCGGATGTGGAGATGACGAGAGAGTGGTGTGAGAACCACACGGAGTACAGGTGGACCAACCAGAAGGTCAACTTCGACAACGTCCTAGCCGGATATCTGGCTCTGTTCCAAGTGGTGAGTTGATGTAACACAAAAATTATTACTTGGTAATCATAAGAAAAATAACTTGCGGGAAAAAGTCAAACATTTACTCAACTTTTTGAAAAAAAAATTACAAATTTTGGAATTTTTGAAATTTAAATAACGTTAAAATGATGCAGTTTGTTCTAATAAAATTTTTTCTTATGCGCGAGCTCATTATTTGGTGACTATTGTTGGCGTATATTTTGTCCTATCATAATAATTTTCCGTGATTGTGTGCTGCGTGTTAGGCGACGTTTGAGGGTTGGATGGAGGTGATGGCTGCTGCGACTGACATCACAGACTATGACAGACAGCCCTGTTTGGAGTCAAATATCCTCATCTACCTCTATTTCATCTTCTTCATCATCTGCGGCTCCTTTTTCACCCTCAACCTCTTCATCGGAGTCATCATCGAGAACTTCAACCGACTCAAGAAAAAGGTAACCCCACCTATCACACCCATACACACACACACACACACACACACACACACACACACACACACAGTCAGACGAACTAGCTAAACAAAAGCTACAAATCAATCATCAGGCATCGCATCAGACTATTTTGATTTCGTCAGCTAAAACTCGAAAAAATTACACACGAAAAGTTATACGACCAGAAAAATAGACTAAATAAAAATGTTCGATTTAAGTGGGTGATACGTAGGAAATGGCTAGGATGCAACCTATTTAATGGCAAAATTGTTACGTTTCGTGAAATCAATTGAAGCTATAATCATTTCTGAAAAAGTATTCACAGCTAACAATGTTTACAGTGAAAAAGCAGCCACTTTTTCACGCGTAATCCTATTTTTTTTAAAATCAGAAAGCTGATTTTCGAAATCCATAAATTTTCTCATACTGGGACCTTTATTTACAATAAATTTCTTCCTAAAGAATTTCTACTTTGATCGGTATATTCGGTATACTTAATTAGCTGAGGGTTTGGGCACTTTCCCATTATAGCCCTCTTATCTAGTAATAAAATGTTTAAGACCACACACTCTATTTCTACTATTATGGGCCATAGTCGCACACTGGGCTATAATTAGGTTGGGTCTACAATAAGAAGAGTCTAGGGATAGATTGAGGTTATCGTTGGCAATCGAAGTTGATGCTATTCTGCTTCTGAGTAGTTTCATCCCACGTTATTTCAAATTAGTGTCATGTCGATTGATTAAATGATTTGACAACAACTGAACTCGATGAAGCTAGCTCCTTTAATTTTATAAAGCTTAGATGTAGTGATGGAAAAAGAAATGGCGCAATTTTATTGATAACTGAAGATATTGTAATCTATTTTGGTATTTTCCCTTTACTCTTTTTTTTGCCGCAGAGCCTCAAGGACATTAATTTGTTTCAAATGTCACTATTTGGGCAGTGCTCGCAGGTCTTCCTACTTTGACGTGTAATCCAATTCTTTTGAGTGTTGAACTCCGTCGCAAATTTTAACCTTAAATTTTAAAAATTTTATGAGAAATGAAAATATGTGCGGTAATAAGCTTTAACGCATTTAAAATTTATGTGAGAAATATTGAAAGCGTTTTTCAAACTCTTGCGTATATCATCCATTTTACTGTGATCCTAAATCTTATTGTTTCGAGGTTTTTTTTATAGTTTAATAGATTATTGTTTCGACCACTGAAAGTTAGGAGGAACTTTGTATTCTGGTTTTACTTTTTCTTTTTTTTTGTTCTCCAACCAAAATCAGGTACCACAAATAACCGCCTGAGAGGGTTGAGTGAAATATCATATTAAAACCTTGCAGATGGGAGTCGAACCCCGTGAAATCATTGGCAAAAACTTCTGCAGTGTACAGTAAGACCGGCATATTTTATTATGAGTTGATGAACATAGTTCAGACTCTTAAATATGTCGCTATGATCTTTTTCAGGAAAAGACTTGAAATTTGTTCAGGCTCAAATGTACTTTTTTGCGGTTTGACTTTCGATTTCTTTTGAATTTCAGATCATTTTCTCTGTTAAAAAGAAGACAAATTCCACTATCGAACAGCAAAAGTGTTAAGTATCGCTTTTCTAGAAAAAATGTAATTAACTTCGAAGTTCGAAAATGGAATTAATTTTCAGATTTCTCAACAAAATAAAAAATTTTGCCTATTGATGATTGTTCTCAAATTGGGTTAATTTTCTCAAAAAAGTGTCAATCAAAAATTGTTCAAATTCAAAGAGCTTTACGGCCATTGTTTTTTTTCAAGTTTTGAAATTTGACTTTTTCGAAAAAAACTATTCAGTAATTTTTTCTGTTTCTTTGCGTTCATTAATTCTATTCCAACTGTCTGTTAGTTAGTGTTTAAAGTTTTTTAAGCCTTCGTGACTTAGGTGTTATTGTGTGAGAGTTATAATCTCTAAGTCACAGGTCGAATCCGAGACTTAGCCGAATTTTTACTAATTCGAAGTTGATTTCTACTTTTTGATTGCATTTTATACATTTGTTTTTTGTGTTCTTGTTAGTGTTTGCGAAGCGCAGCTTCGCTTATGTGTAAAAAAAATTTGTTCTTTTTCTTAAGTGTCTAGGTGTACCCGAATGTTACGGTCATGCTGAAGTTTTAATGTAGATATTAAATTTGGGGCATAGAAATTGAAGTGATTTCATTGTACATTAACGTATATGCCGATTTTTGACGTAATATAGACTTTAAATCTATTGAACAAGGATAGCCGGCTCCGACCATACTCTTAAAAAACACAATCTTTTTTTTTCAAATTAGTGTTTTTTTAAAAGATTCGAACAAAAACATAGAACTTAGGCATATACTACAGTAAAACAGGCCAGTTGGAAACCATTTGTTTAAAAAAAAACGAAAAACTATCTTAGTAAAAATTCTGTTCAAAAAATTTCAAATTTTGTTCATTTTTTTGCAACATGTTTGAAGTTTTTGATTCCCAAAATGGCGCTGACAAAATCCAAAAACTAACTTTACTCTAGTATAACTTAGATTTCATGGCCTAAATTAAGCTTTAATGAGCTATTGTAGGCCTGCACGCTCACCTTTATTTGCTCGAATTTGGACCAGAAATCAAAAATTTTAAACCTGTTTATCTCGACACTTTAATCTGACTTTAATATGATATACAACTCGACCCATTCCAATGATTTTTGTCGTACCTGCTTTTGCGTGGCAAGCAACAAGAAAAAAAAACTAAAATATATCCGAATACAAAGTTCCTCTCCACTTTTCAAATGGTCGGAACAAAAACAATCAATTGTCCAGTTGCGGTCACGAGTTGGCATACGTGGTGTTTTCACCAAGAATCTACTGTGTTCTTTTTAGTAATTAAATCGTAATTGATCAATATGTCAAACACACTACTTTCTGTGTTCGAAATACTTGATTGTGCAAGTTTTTCATACTTGCTCTGCAATTTTTTCATACCACAACATCGAGAACTTGAGCTCAAAATGAAAAAGTCATTTCATCTGCGATGATGTTTTCATAAAGTATTGGGGTTTTAAATTGCTTAGTTGTTTACACTTGCGAACAGCGTAATGTGTTAGTACGAACCTTTTCTACTAATGTAACTCGAAAATAAAAGTGTTCATTAAAATTGTTCACTTATTTGTGTGCCTTTTTGCTATAATCACGATCTGTAGCATTGGAAATTTCATAGCATCTGTTCTCTGCTTTATTTATGGCTAGTGTTTGTGATTTTTTTTTGCGTTTTTGGCTGATTGATTAGTGCATGAGACTCATGTGCCCTCTGTCGCAGTAGGTCGCAGATCGAATCCATGTCGCAGTAGGTCGCAGATTGAATCCGAGTAGTAGCCGATTTTTTTTTTTTTACTAATTCGAGACTTATTTCTACTTTTTCTTTTTGCATTCATGGAGCTGCTTTTTGTCGTGTTCCCGCTAGTGTTTGCGAAGCAAAGCTTCACCTCTGTGCCAATAAGCCGTACTAACTTGTGCGCACCTAATTTCCATTGATTCTAAATGCTCCAAGCGCACTCAAGCATTAATTATACGAAAGTGGTAAATTCATCCGCGCTTTTGGTCGTCAAATTTAATTAAGGCATGCTGTAACTGGTCCAAGTAGTTGGTTACTAGTCAAAAGTTATCATTTATTCTATAACATTGCCATGGATGAAGAAATATAAAAAGAAGAAAAACAATTTAGACATTTAAAGGGCATTCGAAATATTCCGGTCATTGTCATGATATCAGCAATTTTACTGATTTTTATATTAAAATGTCCGTCGTCTGTATTGCGGGTGGTCGTGGCATTTTCTACGTAATCTATAGGTATAAAATTAATGGGCGATCCAATATTTCTTAAATGACAATTTTGCTGACGCTGCTGTGTGATCTTGAAAACTTTGATATTGAATGAGCGGTCTTATTGCATGATTTTAGTATGATGGAGAGGGCCCAGTGGACATTATGCTAACTGAAACTCAGAGGAACTACTACAATACTTTGAAGCGCCTAGGAGCACGCAAGCCCAAAAAGACTGTGAAACGACCCAAGGTACACTTACACTTCACCAAGCACACTTTGATTTTCTCGATGATTATTGATTTTGTTTCTACAGGAATTTTCTAGAAAGATTTTTTTTGAGTACTTTTTTGATCTTTGGGTTACCGTTCTCCATTATTTCCAAAACTCGACTTAAAAAGTGTTCGCAATCTGTTTTAATTTTATCACCCCCTTTGCATATTCCCATGTAATTTCCACGTTTTGACGCACTGCAATCTGGGTTTTGTTTCATGTTTTTACCAATCATCTAAAGCACATTTCATCTCAACCCGAAAGCAGCTGGGGGTAGGGAGGATCACTTTTGACCCAAGTACCGAATGGCTAAAAGTTATATTTGCCAATCAGGCTGCAGTATTCAAAATTGTGAACCAAACCAAGAAAATGCTGACAGAACATACAAAAGCTATTGGCCGCTCGAAAATTTTCGGCCATTCGCTCTTTCGGTTGTGAGGTTCTTGCCCCGTCCCTACAGGCTGCACGTTTTTGTTAACCTTGCCTTAAATTGAAGCGAACTTTTAAATGTAATTGACCTTGAAAATTCCAATTTTCCCCTATTAAATTCCAATGTAATTTAAACAGTTCCACGGTCATGAAGATTGGGTAAGATTTGACGCGTGATTTCACCCCTGAGACAGTTATTAGTTGCAAATTTACTGATTAATTCAAAATTGACACGAAGCCAGCAAACAATTGATTTTGCTACACTTTCAAAAAAATTGTTGATATGACGTCAAGTTTATATGCCACCCCGTACTTGTATCTGGTTTTTGTTTCAAATGAAAACTTCTCGAGTGATTTTTAAGTTTTTTCTGTAAAATCAGTTAAAAGAAAAAAATAATTGCATTATCATTTGCTTTTGAGGCAGCCGAATTTTACCAATCTTTGATTTCGCTTTTGGCCGAACCTCTCAAAAAGCATAAGCGAAGGTTTTTGGCTTGAATAAATAACGAAGTAACTTTTAGAGACAACTGCATAAATAATCATACACTGTTACTGACTTTTCTGAAGACTGTTTCAGATCACAATAAGCATCTCAAAGTTTTGCTCATAATAACAGATACTAACTGATTTCTAACTATTTAGTTATAACCCTTCTTCTTTTCAGTGGTCTGAAAACCAGGTAACGATGAATCATCAATCAAATCATCTGATCAGTGTATTCGGGCCTTTTCTATTAGTCCCTTACTAGTAAAAACTGGCTAATTAAGAAACTTCATATGAAGGAAACACATGAAATTGAATTAACTGAGCATTTCAAGAGCAGAACTTATTTTATTCACGGGGTAGGTTCAGTAAACCGAACGTTCAGTAAATTACCAAATCAGTATGCCGAATTGCGTAATAATTTAGAGAATCGATTTTATAACTAAAAGAATAGCTTTAAAACTAAGCTCATGGAAAGCGCAGTTTCGTTTCATTTTTTGTTTCATTTTTGGTTTGCGGAAAAACTTTGACATGTACAAACTTCAGTCTTGAATTTATTTTTTTATTGATCTGCTCCGCCAGTTTGCAGTTCAATGATACCTCGATTTGCTGACCTACCGCCAGTTTTCTCCGTATTGCTGATTTTACTCTTCCTGCCAATTTCTGGAGGGTTCAAATAGAAAGGATCCGTTTATTCTATATATCATATCATAGCTAATGTTAAATGGCTGTCAATTGTGAACAGTATGCTTCTAAATCGATCGAAAATGAGTTAATCAGATTTAAAGGTCCGGCTGATAATGCATGTTTAGTCTGTTTGATATGCCGAATTGAATTAGATTAATTAGTTCTTAATTCTATTTCATCTGCAGCACAATTTTATCTGCCAATTTGGCGAAGTTATAGATGATCGGTGTCAAGGTTTTAATCCATTTTCGACCGATTTTGACATTGCCAGCAAATAAGCGTCAGCAGTGCTTGTATCGTATCATGGTTGTACTGTTATGGTTTAGTTTTGTCTGGTATTTCTTCAAGCACTCTATTCTCGCAACAAAAGTCTGTCAACTCGCAACAAAAGACAAATCCCAATATAATACCCGCTGCAGTAGCGCCAACGTGTTACGTGCTTGCCAGCAGAGCGTAGAACCTTATACGAAATTTAGAGCCGGTTATCACCGCAAAGCGGCGATGCGCGCTTAGCGCTCCCACCGTTGACCTTTAATCAAAAATTTTTAGTTATAAAATAAATCTCAAGTTTTCCGAGTTTTCGCGTGCCTTACATTTGCTGGTTGTCTTTTGTTGCGAGATGTCGTGGTACCCTTTACTTCTATGCAGGGGTGCATTAAACGTGTCCTCGATTATCACCATGAAGTTGCCGATATTTTATGAACTCAGTTAAATTTAAATGGTTGTTATCTAAGCATACAGTATGTCGGTAAAACTTGTCCCCAACTTTTAGTCCACTAATGCACCTTTCTCCAACGTCAACTCACGCCAGAAACAAAAAAGTTGTTAAAATTTTTTCGTCATATACCTTTAAAAACTAGTACAAATTGCCGCCCATGGTGTATCTGAAAAATATCAATTTGCTTAGATTAACAAATTTTGGAGTGAGTAATCCTCTTGAAACCGCATCTGGCGTTTGATGAGTATTCAGGCCGTTCTAAGTTTTTCGGTGCCATGATTAAAATCTAAGTTTTTGTCATCTATGGACATTTTCTCTCAAGAACAACGAATGCTTAAAGTTCCTCAATTATGGCCCATTAGAAGATGTCATGTAAAACGAAAAGGCGTTCGTGGTTTTTTCTTGATGCTAGTAGTCTTGTTTTTGTTTTACGATAAACTTACTTTGTCAAAAAGTTTCTTGAATCAAAATTTTCAATATCATAACTTTCAACGCCATATTTTTGTAGGCGCGGCTTTTATTCGAGGGTGCCTTTTGAAGGACGTTTTCTCAAATTCATAAAAAATGCGTATCTTAGTTTTTCTGATTCATGAAAAAATTTTTGACGTAAGGGATGGCTTCGTTCAATGTGGGGTGGGATGACTCTTTCCAGAAAATCCAATAAGTAATATAAGTTTCATCAAGAAGTTTTCATTTTAAATTTTGAGATAAATTATCGAATCGAAATTTTTTTTCGAATTAATTTCAATTTTTGAGATTAACCCAAGTTTTTTTGCTTGTCGCGCTATCAGTTTACGTCCGGGTAGATTTTAAAACTCATTAGTAGAAGTTCTTCCGATATTTCTAGTCGACAGTCTGGTATTCCAGGTTGGAGTGAGTTAATAATCGTATTTGCGAAGTATCGCCGATCAATGGTGATGTCGATTGAGTCTCAATAATGAATCAAGAAGTGAGATAGATAGAAAATCGTTAATAGACAGACTAATGGCGAGGAATCTATGGCTATTGATTTAGTTGATTTTGTCAAAGAAATGCTTTTATTTCGATTTGATTCATTTCGGTTCTAATTTTTGTTTTTTGCTTTTACTTGGCACTGAAAAAAAAGGTATGTACAAACTTTCATAACTGCAGAAAATTTGTTGTTTGTTAGTTATGGTTGTATTAAATTTATTGTTCCATCCATTTGAATAATGTGGAGGAACTTTGTATTAGGGTGTGTCTTAGTTTTTTTTCTGTTTGTTTTTGTTTTCCACGCAAAATCAGGTACCAGAAGTAATTATCGGAATGGGTCAAATTATTTATCATATTAAAGCTCTTTTAGTCGCGATTTGAAAGGCGTTTAAAATGTTCACCATTTTTTCTAGTGTTGAGAAAAACTGTTTTGAAATTTTTAAAATTTTCTTCTTATTTCGAGCGAGTAAAGGGAGCCAGCATGCTTATTTATATAAGCTGTGAAAACCTAATTTTTCTTGAGTTAAGTTAGTTTCTGAAATTATTTTGCGCTATTTCCAAAATCTTCGAAAGAAATCAGAAAATTACTTAATAATTTGTGTTTCTAGTCATTTTTTCAGAAACTGTTTTATAGTCGGCCTATTTGGCTATGATTGTCGAATATACGTAATTTGTATTTTCTGTTCAGATCTTACTATCGCACAACATAGAAAAAACGACACAAACTCCAAAAGATAAATCTGTTTTTAAGACTATACTTGAAACATTCTGTGTGCTAGGTGCACAGTAACCCGCTATCCTTGTTACCCTTGCAATAAGCAAGGGTAATGCAATCGGGTTCTAGACATTTTATCTCGTAAATAATTTTGATCAAATGGTAATCAGCATAGTTAATCATACGAATGGTTGATTAACAATATGGTTACTGTATTGGCCCTGTGTTTACGTTAAGAATTGCTTTTATTATTTTATGGGAATCGAAATTTTTTGGTGGATTTTCGGCACAGGTAGTTCGGCTTAAATTCTGTCGGCATATTTTCCTAATGTTTTTTAAGTTATTCCTCTTAGTTATATTGGTTTTATAACGACTGATCTCTAACAAAAAAATTTTGAAAAATCTAAATCACCCTCTTACGCCTTTTGTAGTAAAATTAGAATAAATGAAAAAAGGTCAACATTTTTTTTTCTGAAAAAAAAGCTAAAAAAAACATTTTCGGCTGTTTAGTTCGTTTATTATAATAACTTCAAATTCAGTCAATTATCCAGCGCATCTGGCGTAGAGGTAACACATATGCTTGAGACGATGAAGACTTGTGGTTCGAATCCAGCCGGATTCTGTTTTTTATCTAGAATTTTTCTGCTTTTTCATGCAATCGTCGGTCTCTTTTTTTTAGCTCTTTTCCCGTTGCATGGGATGTTTTTGAAGGTTCAATTTTTTTTTTCAAAATTTCTGAAGGCCACTAGTGGAAGTAATTGATTTATATTTTTTTCGGTGCAGTTTTTTTGCATTTTGTAGAAAACTTTCAAATTTAATTCTTACAAAATAATTTATTTTGCTTTTTTTTCAGAAGTTTGCTTTGTTGGTTAATGAGCACGGAATTATTAAGCATTCGATTAATATTCTAGCAATTAGCTTTTTTTTCAACATAGCACTTTTTTAAATTAGCGGCTTTCTTCTCAATTTCTGTCTGCCTGTTTGTTGTGTTATGTTTGAGTTGTATTCCAGAATTCCTGTTTTATGGATGTCGACTTAAACTCTGTGGGTTTAGTTTTCGAATTTACTCTTGCATTCACTACATATAAAGCATTCGTGGCACTTTGTAAGCATTATATTTTTTGGATTTTGAGCTTTTTGGCTGTCGGTTGTAATTTTGTCGGGTTTTCTACCTAATAATTTGTTTCCTACTCTGGCTCTATTTTTGTAAATGCCTAATATCAACTTTACAAGGTACTTTTAAAGAAACTTGAATAAATTTAATCATGAAAAAACTTCTTTTTTATTTTAAAATTTTTTTCTAGTGCCTTTTTTCATTTTTTTCTCCGCTCGAAGTCGCTGCTACTTCTCAGCGTCATGTTTTTAAATATTATCCTTGTTGTATTGCAAGTGTTGCGAAGCTCAGCTTCGCCTCTGCGTTTAATATGTTTATATTAGTTCGGTTATTTTGAAGAACTAATTACTTTTAAGTAACTTTTGGGAAAAACTATGAAGTTGTTTCAAGCTTGGTCCATGGCTGTGGGTGTTGCCGGCCTCACAGCCATGGACCAAGCTTCACGCTATCGTATAAGCAATGCGACAAAAAGTTGTTTCGAAACGCATAGTTTTGAACGAAAAAAAGGTGATTGATTTGTATCATGTTTTTTTTTCTTCTGATAATTTTTTTTGCTGTGTTGGCATAACATGAAACTTTTTGAGAAAAAAATAGGAACAAGTTTTGCAGATAGCTTATTTAAAAGATTTTGAAAGTGATAGTCGACTAGGCGTTTATTTGAGAATATTTTTTCTATATTAATGTCTGCGTTGCAATCATGGGAGTTTTTGATTTCTTTTCTGCTACTTTTGATCAGTATTAGTAGTAAAAATATAGTAAAATTAAATTGACTGCCTCACCAGTGCAATTAGAGGATATCTGTTGGTGTTTTAGCTCAAGCCAGCGTCAGTTTCTTGGCTAAAATTTACACGTTTCCTACTTACTACCAAGTTATAGTGGGTAACTTAATGAAACCTTGTTTTTGTTGGACAATAAATTTTTTGGACAAAAATAGTTTGGAATGGAGATTTTTTTTCCTTTTTTGCTTTAAATTAAAACTTCAAATTGTTGCGCATTCATCAAGCAACGAGCTAGCCCCTTAAAATCATGTTTAGTTTAAGATCATTAAAGATTGACATTTTTCGGTTGGCTTGCTGATTTCCGACAATTTGACGTTACTCCAGTTTCATTATGTGTGACCGATCATTCATGCATTCAAGCGTAAAATTGCTAATCTGCCATTTGGCAGTAACTGGAATAAATTTCGTTTAATTGATTTTCCATTGTAACGTAGGCGTTCTTGTCACAAAGCATTACCATAATTTAAAACAAGAAATGCATCTTAAATTTCAGCTGCATAATTTAACATAGACAAAAGCCTTGTCGGTTTCACATATTGAATATCAAACTATTATCTAAAACGTCCTGATATTCAAACAGTAAAACGATACATTTTCCTACGTTTTCCCTGAATTCTTTTTTATGTAGTAACTTAACGGATAAGTGCGTTTGATGATCATATAAGTATGAAAAAACCAAATGCTTAAAACGATCCACTGGTTCGCAATGTCTTGTATCAAAAGATCTTAAATGACTTTGTTGGAACATTTTGTCAAAAAGGTGCCGGATAATTTTGACAACAGAAGGTCATGATGAAGTTTTTGGAGAGCTTGGCAAAATTCAATGTTCTAGACTGGAATAAAAGCTCGAAATGTTTTTTTTTGAAAATCCAGCCCTACCGTCGGCAAAATTTTGGAATACCTTCTAATTTTTTTAAATTACTCTGTTCAATGCACTATGCATAAACAAAGCATCTGCGTTCCCTAAAAAGGATGATACTTTTTGGAATCTCGTAACTTGAATGGCTTAACGAAATTATAAAAGTAACATTAGGGCTTTAATGCAATTATGTCACAACGATTCTCTTAAAAAAGAAACATTGAGGATAGAAATAGATTTAATTTGCATGTAAAGTCTGAATGCTTTGATATTGAAATTTTGCTTCTTGCTTCAAAGATGTGCGGTGACAATCGACGCATTTAAGTTTGTAGATGTTTCGCTTGCTTGTCGAAAAATTGATATAATTTTGCAGAAACAAGAAGACAGTGAATCAATCAGTTGAAATTAGTCTTAAATCCCAAGTTTGGGTTTTAAAAGTAGCTGCAAAAACTGACTGTTTTTAGAAAAATTATTAAGAAACAATCGGTTGCCTGCATTGTAGATCATTTTATTTCTGAGTTAGATGTGAAAAGTATGGTTGCGAGATAAGATCTTGGTGTTATACGTGGTTGTGTCGTTTCAGAACCAGATCCTAGCGTTCTTCTTTGACATTTCGACCTCGACCAAGTTTGAGATAGCGATAGCCATAGTGATTCTGTCGAACATGATCACTATGGCCATGGACCACTACAAGATGAGTGACATCTGGAACTATGCGCTGTTCTGTCTCAATATCATGTTCACCACCATCTACTCCCTCGAGTGTATTGTGAAGATAGTGGGACTGAGGCAGCAGTACTTCCTCTACGCCTGGAATATATTCGACTTCATCATCGTACTCGTCTCAATCACAGGTGAGATCTTAAGCTGATATTGCTTTGGGGGGTGGGGGGGGCGGTTCGCTGAAGTATAAAAGTTGAACAGATTGAGGCAAGATCAGGTGATTCTTTTCAAAATTTCTGAGCAAAATAAGTGAGCAATCCTCAACATAATGTAGCATACGAATCTTTAGTTCTTATATAATAGATGTATGTATTGCGTACTTGATTATTTATATGATTATGGTGGATTATGATTATCTTTCTGTTTGGATAAGTCACATTGATTTGGAACATTTCTGCAACATTTGAGGCATATTTTTCAGGAAACTAGTGTTTTTGTGCCCTTAAGGCCAAAATTTGCGGTTTTGGTTGCCCGCGATTCCCTCCTCGGCCACCCTTTAAAACAAGCTATCGACTTTTTTTACAGTAGCAGCTCAAATGAAATTAAATATAAAAGTTGTTTTGAAAGCTTAAATTTTTCGCTGTTTAGACATAGTGATAGAGGCGGTGGTCGACAGTAAGACCATGTTCCTGAAACCCGGGACCCTCCGAGTAATCAGACTGTTTCGAATAGGACGCGTGCTTCGACTCATCAAGGCGGCCAAAGGTATCCGGAAACTCTTGTTTGCCTTCCTGATTTCAATCCCCGCTCTTTTCAACATCGGCATGCTTCTCACATTGATGCTGTTCATCTACGCACTTATCGGCATGTCGCTCTTCGGCTACACGATACACAACGGGATGCTGAACGACCGTGTGAACTTCGAGACATTCTCGAGTTCAATGACCCTTCTCTTTCGACTGATGACGTCAGGAGGTTGGAATGAGATCCTGGAAGCTCTTATGGTCGATAACGAGACGACCGACTGCGACCCTGACATGGCCATGGCCGGAATCGCGGGCAACTGCGGTGTGAAATGGGCGGCCGTCGCATACATGGTCAGTTTCCTACTTGTGACGTTTCTGATTGTGATCAACATGTACATTGCTGTCATTTTGGAGAACTTCAACCAAGCGCATCAACAAGAAGAAATCGGAATTACAGAAGATGACCTTGAAATGTTTTACTCTGTCTGGCAGAGATATGATCCCCAAGCTACCGAGTACATACACTACCTGTTGCTACAGGACTTCTGCGATGACCTTGACCCCCCGTTTAGGCTGCCGAAGCCAAATGGTATTAAAATTGTGACTCTGAAACTGCCGATAAACCAGGACGAAAAAGTACACTGTCTTGACATTCTGAAAGCACTTGTTAAGAGTGTAATAGGAGATTTTGACGACAGTGAGCAACTAACCGAACTGCAAGGAAAGATTGAAGAGAAGTTCAAGGAAAGTTTCCCGAATCTGAAGATCAAAGAAATAAAATCGGATACTTTCAGACGAAAGCAGGAAGATCATGCTGCTAGGAGAATCCAAAAGGCATGGTTCCATCACAAGTTCAGACAAAATATTCGGAGAGTTTCTTCTACTTATAAAACCCTGCAGTTGAACCGATCTAATATGCCGTCGGGAATTGAATCCGATTCGAACTCGGTGAATAGCCGAAGCAATTATCCGGAAACAATGAGTGACCAACCGGGTAATACGACACAACCCGAGATTAGTATCATTCAAGCACCGGGACCATCTTCGCCTACTAACTTCTCTACCCCTCTAATTAATAAAACTCCCGCAACACCTAGAGTCTCAAAGAAACCCATAGCACCACCTGACCCCAAAACCAACCCTGGCACCCTTTCGATATGAAAATAATTTCAGTTTGGTTGTGAAAAAAAATAACCCAACTGGAGATCTTAGTGCAATACGAGAAAGCTGGCAATTCCCCTTTTATCGTCCTAAATCGGTGCTAGTTTCAACCCGAAAACCACAACCCGAAACAGTTGCAGGCATGATTAATTATCGGCCAAGTGACCGTCGGCAAAACTCTTCTATGACTGGAAACATACTCGAGTCACAGGCAGTTACGATAACAAAAAAACTCCTTTTGAGGCCATCATTTTGTTAAATTTCTCTTTTTTCTTCTCATCTGTCTTTTCTCACTCATTCGTGCCTTAATCTTCCCTAAAATGTAGCAGTTACTGAATAATCGGAGTGGAGGAAGGTTATCATTAACCCACCAGTTAAAAAAGATCAGTGAAAAAAATCGGCAAAAATTGATGGAGTGCATTTTGGGTGCTACACATCATGGCATTCTTCATTTCTTCATGCTCGCAGATCAGCACAACTAATAACTTTTCTTCGCAATACCAAATCACCGCTGTAATTAAAGTTTGTATTTCTAATTTATTAAATTAAAATGTAATTTATGAAATTTATTGAATCGCAATAAAATGTCACAGCAAGTCGAGTTGTTGTCTTGCAATTTCTATTCTCATGTGCAATTTAATTTTACAAATTGATGAGGAAAGCTATGTAATTAGATTTGGAACACATTTTTATTTTTTGAATGGTTTCTTGATAAGCAACTCAGTCTATTAAAGTTTGTTTAAGAGTAATGAACGTATTGAGTACTCTTATACAGGTCTCGGTGATTTTTTTCGTTTTTTAAGGAAAAACTCTCAAATTTGTTCATGCTCAATCTTTTTTTTTCGCGGTTTGACTTTTGACTTCCTTTATTATCTTTCTTTGTTAAAAGGGAGGCAAACCTCACTATCGAACAGTAAAAATGTTAAGGTCCAAAAAAGAACGATTTCCCTCGAAATTAAAACTTTACCCATTGATCCATCCAGTTTTCTCAAATTGGATATTTTTTATCAACAAAGCACCAATCATACAGTGTTCGTGAAATTCAAAGAGCTTTAAGGGTATATATCTTTTCACGTAGATTCGAAAGTTGAAGTTTTTTCAAAAATAAATCAGTTTTTTTTCTGTTTCCTTGCGTTCTTGACTTTTTTCTAACTATGAGCTGGCAATGTTTTGTTTTCTTGCTCGAAGGTTGCAGAAAAGTTCGCTACCACTCATAAAGGACAAAGTTATCTGAATTTTTTTCAGGGCCGCATTTTGTGTGAATATTTCTTGTTATTTTGTTTTTGCTCATTACACAAGCAACCAAGTGTTTTTTACGTAGCAAAAAGTAGACATGCCTTAAAGTAGACTTTTCGTAAGCCAATCAAATTAGAGAAAAGAAAACATTTCGTACGTTTGTATTCTTATCTTTATTTTGATTGGCTTGCGAATTGTCTACCTTATAGCATGTTTAGTTGTTTACCGCAGTCCCTGTGTTATAATCCGACTAAACTCTTTTTCATTCAAAATTGCACATTTTGCTGCACAGTCTTATGCCAAATTGTTTCTGCGCTGTTATTTGAGCAGAATCCAGTTTATCTTCTCTATGAAAATTCATTAATTGCTATTTGTAATAAACATGAAATCTATCTAAATCTATATCTATCTATCTATATCTATCTATATCTATCTATCTATCTATCTATCTATCTATCTATCTATCTATATTTATCTATCTATCTATCTATCTATATCTATCTATCTATCTATCTATACTATATTTAAATGCTAGTGAAAGCTATCTCCCATGTTTAAGCATAATAATTTTGCATGTTTAACGAAAGAATTTTTTCATGTTTAAGCTATATCATTTATTGCAATACTTAAGAAAATTTTTCATTTAATTTTCGGCAAGGTGGTTAATTTTTCAGTAAATTTTTTTGAGGCCAAATTAAGTCTGTCTGTATACCTGCTTTTTTAAATTAATTTGATTATGTCTGACTACCTGTCTCCTAATTTTTTTAAACTTTTTTCTGTCAAATCTATTATATATTTAAATGCGGGCTGCATTATCTCGCCATGTTTAAGCTTTTTGAACGTATTTTTTGCATCTTTAGCAAAAGATTTTTTTCACGTTTAAGCTATATCGTATATTGCAATGGTTAAGGTTTTTTTTTCGATTTTCCCGTTTAAATTCAGTTTTTATTTCATCAAGTTTGTAATTAGCAACCCAATAGTTGGATGTTGTCAGAGTTTTCCCAGGTTTTGCGATTCTGGCCTCCATATATGAAGAACCAAATCCTTGTAGTTTTCGAGATATGACGTTTTTTTTATCATTTCTTCTTTTAATTTGGAAAAATTCTAATACGTCGAAGATCTCAGTCCTGTTGTTGGATTTTGTGAGGGTACTCTCAGAGGTTGCGAATTTTGCCTCTAATTATGGCTGCTCAAATCCGTGTAGTTTTTGAGATATGACGTTTTCGGATTTGAAAAAAAAAATTCAGAAAACTTAGATATGAAAAAAATTCAAAAATTTTGATATTCCCATCTCGTCTGTGAGGCTCTGTCAGGGTACTCTCAAGAGTTGCGATTTTTGCCTCCAAATATGACTGCTCAAATCCTTGTAGTTTTCGAGATATGTCTTTTTTTAATGATTTTCTCCGAATTTTTCAAAAAAATAGATGTTAAAAACTTCCAAAATTTTGAAAATCTCAATCCTGTTATTGGAATCTGTGAGGGTACGCTCATGGGGTTGCAAATCTTGCCTCCGAATATGTCTGCTCAAAATCTTGTAGATCTCGAGATATGACGGTTTTTAGGATTTTCTCAGAAATTTTCAGAGAACTTGGGTATGAACTTTTTTTTTATAAAACTTGAAATTACTATCTCTCTAGTAAGGCTCTTTCAGGGTGCTCTCAGGGTTTGTGATTTTTGCCTCCAAATATGACTGCTCAAAACCTTGCAGCTTTCCAGATATGACTTATTTGTGATTTTTAATTTAAAAATTAAATTAATTTTCTTTTCAAAGTTTGAAATTTCCAACCTGTAGTTGGGGGCTGTCAGAGTACTCTCAGGAGTTGCAAATCGGGCCTCCAATCAAGAATGCTCAAATTTTGTTAGTTAAAGAAATACGACGCGTTTTTGTGATTTTTTTTTGGAATTTTCAGAAAACTCCAATTACAAAATAGATTACTAAAGTGAAATTCCCATTCATGTAGTTGTGTGCTATCTGAGTACTTTCAAAGATGCTATCTGAGTATGAGTACTTACTTGCGATTATTGCCATCTAATAAGACTGCTCAAATCTTGGTAATTTTCGAAATGTGAACTTTTTTCTGGTTTTCACAGCAAAATACCTCTTTTTAGAAAACTTAAGGTGAAGTTTCTCAAAATTTGAATTTCCCAACGTTGTAGTTGGGTACTGTAAGAGTCCAAATGCGACTGCTCAATTGCTTTTAGCTTCCCAGGTGTGACGTTTCTTAGTTAATTTTAAATTTTTCGAAGAACTTATATAAAACTTCACAAAATTTTATGGTTCTTCAAAATTTGTATAAAAAACTTGAACAAAATTTTTGCAAAGTTTGTAAGTACGAACCCTGTAATTGGGTGCTGTCAAAGCACACTCAAACAATGCAGATCCTTTTTCCAATATATGCTGTTTATCATGAGTACCGGAGGTGCGTTGTACGCTAGTTTGGTATGAAAGTAGTAAAATATAGATAGTGAAAAATAGATTAGTAGTGAAAGTATAGGTCATTTGCTTGTCTGGGAAGCATTCGATTTTGAGTACGATCACGAAGTGGGCTTGATTTTCTGAGGCTGATATTTTTTTCAAGGCTTAATTTTGGTTTTGCTTGAATTTTCAGGAACAAACTTTATTTGCTTATTCATTAGCTCTAGAATTATAACAGCTGTGGATGTTCCATTATCGTTTGCAGAACTCAAGATGCACAGGGTTTGGCTGTTGTGTTCGAATCTTTATCGAAAGATTTGCCAGGCCGAATGATTTGACTGATTCGTTTCTCAATTTAGTGACCTCTGCTGTAAGTTGAAGCTACAGCGCTATGCTTTTTTATCGGCTGTGATATTTCCAGTTGATTAATAAAAAAAAAAATTTGATGAGGGATATGGCGGTTTTTCAAAAAATTCAAAAATTTGTGTCTACCTCTATCTATGCCTACCAATCTAATTTTCAGAGTTACTATGAAAACCCAACTTTTCCAAACTTTTGTGCACAGCAGAATAATTAAAAAATGTGCAAAAAAAAATCCAGCTTTTAGACATTTCTTAAAGATTTTTACAAAAAATAGCGTTTATCGGAGCTCACGTCCTGTCGATGTTAATGTATGTTAGCGTTGAAGGCACCCTCAGAAAAACTCCTTTAAAGGACAATATAGTCAGCAAACAAAATTATCGGAGTTCTACACAGTGATTTTTTTTTAATGTTTGTATCGGATCCAAGTTTTGACATAAAAATTTAACATTAACTCAGACTCGATCACCAAGTGCTACGAAGTTTCTGAAATCTCAAAAAATCTGATATTTTAAGCAGATAAAACTAAAACTGCAAATGTAATAATTTTCATGAGAAAATATGTGACTAAAGAAAAAACGAGTGTGGCTGAGTGATGCCTGTACAAGTAGCACAGAATTATCTTCTAGAAAACTTTTTCAAACAAAAAATGATTTACAATTGCATTTATTTCAAGTAAGTTTAGTTTTTTTAAGAGATGAGAGAGGAATAAAATCTAGCACTTTTGTAAGTAACGGGCTTAGTTGACTACAATGTATTTCAAAAACAGAAAACAATTTCTGAGATTTTAGTTTTTTTCAATTATTTTAATTTTTTTTGAATTTGTCAAAAAACATTAGGCATAACTGTGATATCTCGGAAAACCTTTAGCCTACACTGACTTGTTCGTACTCTGTGTAGCTCTGAGTCTCCATTTGGTACTATTTTTATTTCGTGTTCTGACAAGCTGAATAACGAAGTCGTAAATTGCGCCGCTCGGGATATTATCTTGCAGATTTTACGAACTGGTTTATCTGGCGGCCAGTATTTGGCGGGTATCGGTTTGTTCCTTATCTTTGCCATTGATGCAGACACCTGCGTTGTCTTTCCCTGTAACTGATCAAGTCACGTGAAAAATTCTGCCTTTCTTCCGAGTCGATTTCGTCTGTTGATGATAAAACAGCCTTATTAAATTTTGTTCACGTCTGTCAAGGTTGCTTGAACTGCACCGGTGTAAAAGCTTATTCGGTTTGCAGGCTGATGGGATTTTTGAACCTCCTCGGTCTGCTGGATGACTAGAAGTGCCTGCTGACAGTGTCTTTGGTCACGTCAGCCTGTGCTGGCTGTCGGGCTATACATTTTTAGCTTAAGCGGTATGTGAGTTTATCTAATCACCTTCCTAATCACCTATCTACTTTATTTTTTTCGGCAAATTGAATGGAAGATTACTTGTCTTCGGCCTCTGAAACG